CAAGACCCCAATCTTATCTAAAGGAATACTGACAACTGATTACCACTAGATGAGTAACAGCTGACCCTCTTAAAACAAAGACCTCTAGATAGGCTGACTAGATTCACCAGAAGGGCAAGTAGTGGGGAATGGCTGGGGTGCCGACAACACAGCAGACAGTAGCAGGGATATCAGAGTATAAGGGCTCTAGTGGGGGGGAGGGAGGCTATGGAGTGTGCTATCTGGGAAGTGGGTGTATAGCCAAATGAGATGGTTTGGGATGTTCTGTGTGATATAAACATACAAAAGAAAAAAAAATAGAAGTTGTATGATAATTTCATGCTACACTGGAATTAAACTAGAAACTAATAACGAAGACAGCTCAAAAAACCCCAGAAACTTAAGAGATTAAACTACATGCTGGGCATGATGGCACATACCTTTAGTCTCAACACCTGAGAGGCAGAGTCAGGCATATCTCTGTGAGATCAAGGCCAGCCTGGTCTACATAGTGAGTTCCAGGTCAGTTGGGGCTACAGGGAGACCCTGTCTCAAAAAGACAAATAAATATACATATGTGCGTGCGTGCGTGCGTGTGTGTGTAGAACATTTAAAACCCATTTAAGGAAATCTGATTGAAAAATAGGCCAAAAACCTTAATATATACCTCAGCAAAGAAGATGGACAGGTAGCAAAAAGCACAAGAAAAGATGCTCCATATCATGTCACCAGGAAAATGCTAATCAAGAGTCAATAAGAAACCACTATACACCTAATTAAAATGTTGTACTCCAGAGCCCTGGCAGCATTAAATGTCGACAAGGACACAGAGCAGCAAGAACTCTCATTCACTGCTGGTGGGAATGTAAAATGGTACAACCACGGTGGAAGACATTTGGTGTTTTTGTTTTGTTTTGTTTTTTGTCTTTTTGTCTTCTTGAGATAGGGTCTCCTTGTAGCCCCAGCTGTCCTGGAACTCACTATGTAGAACAGGGTGGCCTTGAACTCAGAGATCTGCCTGCCTCTGCCTCCCAAAAGTTTGGTGGTTTCTTAAAAAATTAAACACACTGTTACCATACACTCGAGCAATCATATTCCTTGCCATTTACCCAAAAAAGGTGAAAACTGCATAAAAGCCTACAGCATCTTTATTCATAACTGCTCAAATTTAGGTGCAATCAAAATGCTGTTAAGTAGGTGAATGTACGGTGGTACTACGAGATAATGGAATATTATTTAGCACTAAAAAGAAATGGACTATCAAGTTGTGACAAGGTATGGATGAGCCTTAAATGCATATTACTAAATCAAAGAAGCCAATCTGAAAAGGCTACACACTGAATGAGACCAATTCTGGGTCATTCTGGAAAGGAAATTTGTGAAAACAAATATTGGTAGGGGACAGGGATGGCTAAGTTGAGCACTGAGGATTCTCAGGGCAGTGAAATTGCTATGATACTCTAGTGCAGATACAAGTCTTTGTAAGTCTGTTGAAGCTCCATAGAATGTATAGCACCAAAACTTAACCCTAATACAAACTGTGGAGGGTAGGTGATTATAATGTGCCACTGTAGGCTCATCTGTTCCGACAAATGCAGCACTTTGGTGGTGGGTACTGATAATGGGAAAGTTTATACAACATTAAGAGCTACTACTTGGTGTACTGTGCTGAGTATGACAGATTATCTGACAATCTTCCTAGGAGATAGGTATTACTATTACTCCCAGTTTAGAGGACAGGAAACAAACTGAGAAGCCTAGGAACTCACAAGAGAACACCCAGAACAGCGAGTAGTAGTGTGAGGTCAGATTCAGCCTGTCAGCTCATCCGGGATGGGGCAGGATGTGAGTGCAACACACAGGGCTCCTTTCTTTCTCCTTGCTGTGGCTAGGAGATACTTTCTGGTTTTGGTCATTTGCCTTCAGTTAAGTGACTCACATGGTATGTAGATGTGGGTGGCCCAGTTGCCCCGTTCATGAGGAAAAGTTCGAACTCGTCCTCCATGTTTTGCGCTGTCATCTTCAGGTCTCTCCTCTGTGCTGGGGAACATACTTAGCACACTGTCAGGTATTGGTAACTTCTGACTGGGAAGGGGGTTCTGGCCACTGAAGGAGAGAAAAAGAATACAAGCATTTATCCACCTCACATTCTCTCCCTTTGCACATACAGCAGTTTTAAGCTTTATACACAATGATTCTTTTTCAGCAGAGTCTTGCCATGTAGCCCAGGTTGGCCTCAAACTTGCTACCCTCTTACCTTAGCCACAGTGACTCTGAGTGTGGATTTCCAGGAGCTCTCCAGTATTGCTGAGGTTTCCCAGCTCCTCTGGGAGACAGCTCTTGGTCCCCAGGGGAAATACCTGGGCAAGCAGCAATGTGTGGTTTGTAGGTCATTTTACCTAGCTGGACAGGCCTGAGTTGGAATAGCTCATTCTAGATCTGTGATGAAGGTACACAAATTACCTCGTGTATAAAGCATATTTCCATTTTACAGAGCTCTGTGCGATGAGCTGACATTGCACCTAACAAAGACAGGTATTTAAGAACCCAAGGCTCTCTAGTTTTGCTTTGGTCTGGAGTTTCCAGACTGACACCCTTCATACGCTTTTGGTATTATTGCAGCTGCGTTCAGATCAGGAAACAGGTCTAGGATGGTACAGTGTTGACCAGGAAGGATATAGTGCACAAGAGGCGATGGTTGGACTTGAACCAGTATCCTGACTCCCAACTTCGCCTTTGCCAAGTGGAGCCATTCTGGGGCTTTTTCCAGGATATGCTCTGAACCCTCTTCGCTCCATGTCCTTATTTTCCTAGCCCGGGAACTGACCCATACTCTCCCTGCTACCCTGGAGCCTCGGATCTCCTCGGGGTTTCAGCAGAATCACGCCCTCGCGGGAGAGACTCCCTCGTTCCTCACCAACTGCGGCCCCTAGTCTCCGGCCCGCTCCGCCCTATGGCGGCGGCCTCGGCCCCGGCTTCATCCTCGGAGTCGCTGCTGCTGTAGCCCACCAGGGGCGCCGCGCTCATGGAGCCTCGTCCTAGACCACAGGTCTGGTCGGTGGGCAACCTCACCCGGAGCCTGGGGTTCCACTGATCCGGAAGTGCTCTCCAGGGGAACGGCCTAGAGTAGCCCCGCCCCGAGGCGCGGCCTGGCGGAGCTCGGGGGCGGTCCCTAGTGGGACCGCAGCGTAGGCTTGCCAGCCGCCTTCCGGAGCGCTGCAGAGCGGGTTTCACAGGTCTGAAGGTACCCCTTGTCAAGCTTGCACAAACCCGAGACCCGGGTCCCTCGCGAGAGGCAAGCCGAGCGGCACGTCAGCTGCAGAAGCCCGGAGGGTGCGGGAGGGCCCTGCCGCGAGGAATAGGGGACGGCCCCGGGCTGGACCCGGAGCCTCCGCCCTGAGCCCGAGCGAGGTGGGCGGGAGCGGGCGGCGTCGCTCGGTCGGCCCCCTGCTTGCTGATCCCGAGACTCGAGCCCAGTGCCCTAGGACGCGGCGTCTCAGGCCGGCGGGGCAGCGGGGTCCCCGGTAGGGGGCGGCCTCGCTCCGTGCAGCCCACTCCTCCGCAGCTGCCGCCCCGGCCGCCGCTCCTCCTCCGGCCCCGCCTCCCTGGCCTTGCGCCGCCAGTCCGTCCGCTCGTCTCTGCAGGGCTGTCGGTCCGTCCGCCCGTCCTCCCTCCCGGCGCTCCTCCGCTCTGGTCCCGCTAGCCCGAGTACGCCCGTCGATTCCTCGGTTCCGGCCGCCGCAAACCGGCCCCCTACTCCCTGACCGGCCTCCGCCGCTACGCGAGGCCGGGGATTGGCAGGGCGCGTAGGCCGCGCCGCGGCGGATGGAGCCGGAATAAAGGGGCGATAGAAAAAGCAGCTGGTCTCCACTCGCCCCACGCCTGACCCCTCGGGCGGCCCCGAGCAGGTGAGCGGCGGGGCATCCGGGGCTGCTTCTGGGGACCACTCCCATGCTCACCGCACCCCTTCCCTGACTGCTCCTCCGGCAGACCCGGAGGCCTCCTGAGCTCCGGGGCGGCCCAGACCGGGCCTGGAAGTGCAGCCGCTTCCCGGGCATGGTTTGAGGCCCTGGGGCCTTCTCCAGCCCCGCCATCCACCCCCCCGGCCGCAGCGGCTCCCGCCATCCCAGGCCAAAACTGACAGGCAGCCCAGCTGGACCGGCGGGCTGCAGGCAGGGCCGGATGGGAGGTGATCGGCTTACATTCCGTTTCCCAGCGAGGAAGAAGGGCTGGGGTGGGGCGCAGGTGGAGGCTTCTCCTTGTCTGCCCTGCCTTCCCCTACTTTCCCCTACCCTTTGCGGAGTGATCGGAGAGGGTTTCTGGCTGCACCTTCCTGGAAGAGGGCCAGGGTAGGAGGTGGAGAGGTGGCGGGTAGGGGTGGCCGCTCGCACTGGCGGCCTTTCATACCAGGAAAAACAGCACACAGTTGGATTGGCGCAGCTTCCAGAGCAGCCCACCTTTCCTTTCTGCCCTAGGAAGGTTAAAATGACCCAGCCGTAGCACTTGTTCACACACGCTGCTACTCCACTGTGCACTGGCCCTTTTTTCCTCCCTTCCGGGAAGATTCGCAGGATGACAGCTTTTATCTGGATTGTTGTTTCTTTAGCAGAACAGTTAGAGGCAAGGCTGGCATTGTCTGCCCTTTTTCCTCTTAGAGAAAACTTAGAAACTTTTAAAATGTAAGAGGCAGATGAGTTGGGAACCTGGAAGTGGGTTGCCTCTGACTCCAAAAATCCACCCCCCTCTGGAATTACCTTATGCTGCCACAAAGTGGTGAGTTAGAGATTTGCCAGGGTTGAGTGGGCTTTATCTTGCCTTCACTACTGGGAATGTTGTGGACCTACATGCAGCAAGGACCCTGGAGGAGAAACACCCTGTGGATTAGCATGCTTCATCCTGCATCATTCAGGCAAAACAGTGCAATTTCTTACATCTTGACAGTCAAAGATTCAGAGAATGTGTAGGGCTTTTGTTTTTGTTCCTCTGGGAGATGACTAGAATGAGGAAGTTCAGCTTCAAGAACCCCCCACACTGGGTGGTCTGTGAACTGGCCATTTAACCCTCTCCACCATGAGTTCAGGTCTCTGCAAGGTCATTCATCCTGTTATAAGTAGAGAATAGGCATGTTACCTGGGGAAAGGCCTGGCATGCAGATAAAGAGAGGTGTGGGCCAAGCCTTCAAAGCAAGGTTTTTGAGGTAGTCCTTGGTTCCTTTGTTTTAATATTAGTTCCAGAGGCCATTGAACTTAGACCTAGGAAGTGTGGGTTCCCTGGGTTCTGCCTGCCCGCAGGCTTTTCTTCTCTCTGAGTGAGCCCTGTAGTGTCCTTGTGACAATGGGAGAGGGGTTGGAAGGCCTCGGGTCACTCCAGACCCTGTGAGACCTGGCTGAAGAAGGTTGGGAGGAAGCCAGGGGGACTTGGGGAGTCTGGGATACTTTGCCCAGGAAAAGGGAACTGAGGCGGGTGGGTTTGGAGACAGCTCTCTTCCCCTTTGCCTGGAGAAATGGAGCAGCCATCAGACCTCTTTGGTAGCATGTGAAGGGAGCAGGTCTCCAGCCCTGAGCATCTCCCTGCCCTGATGTAGCTTATGTCTGTGCAGTGAGTGTGGGCAGCATGGGGAGAGACCAGGGAAGGGTTCCTGCCTTAAGTTTACTGTGTCTCTCTTCCCTACAGAACCGACTACTGGGGAAAGCAGAGCTTCCCTGGCATTGCCGGGACCCTGCCTTGAAGAGCCCCTTGTCCTGTAGACACTGCCTTGTAGGCTGTCTTCTTGGCTAATGACGGGGGCTGCCTGAGCAGTCCTCTTCTGTGCCTTGTGTGAGGTCCTTGTCCATCCCTGAGATTGGGCAACTTCTCTCTCAGGGTTGGGTCACCTTAAGTGGGAAACTGAAGCCACTACTGTCCAAACCCTGTTTCATCTTCCCAAGCATGTCAGAAAGCTGGCAGCAGCCACCACAGACACAGCCACAGCAGCCACAGCCACCACAGCCTCAGCACCATGCTGAGCCACCACCAGCCCTGGCTGAGCATACACTGCCCCCAGGCACAGCTGAGAACCCGCTGGGCTGTGCTGTCTATGGCATACTCCTGCAGCCTGACCCAGGCCTGCAGCCTCCACAGCATGCACCACTGCAGGCAGCAGGCGAGCCTGGCCCCAAATGTGGTGTGTGTGGCCATGACCTGGCACACCTGTCCAGCCCACACGAACACCAGTGCCTGGCGGGCCATGATCGCTCCTTCCAGTGTACACAGTGTCTCAAGATCTTCCATCAGGCTACTGACCTCCTGGAGCACCAATGCGTGCAGGCTGAGCAGAAGCCTTTTGTCTGTGGTGTCTGCAAAATGGGCTTCTCACTGCTCACCTCCCTGGCGCAGCACCACAGCTCTCACACTGGCATGATGAAGTGTTCCATCTGTGATAAGACCTACAAGCCAGCTGAGGCTGCCGAGCCAGCCACCACTGCTGCACCCTCACTGCCCCCAGCACCACCACCCACAGATGTCGCCCCTGCAGAGCAGCCGGAAAAACCCTACAGCTGCCCCATCTGCCAAAAACCCTTCAAGCACCTGTCAGAGCTCTCTCGCCACGAGCGGATCCACACTGGAGAGAAGCCCTACAAGTGCACGCTGTGTGACAAGAGCTTCAGTCAGTCGTCCCACCTGGTGCACCACAAGCGCACACACAGCTCCGAGCGGCCCTACAAGTGCGCTGTCTGCGAGAAGACCTTTAAGCACCGCTCGCACCTGGTGCGTCACATGTATGCACACTCGGGTGAGCATCACCTCTTCCGCTGCAACGTGTGCGAGTTGCATTTCAAAGAGTCGTCCGAGCTGCTGCAGCACCCTTGCACCCCGAGCGGCGAGAGGCCCTTCCGCTGCGGCGAGTGCCAGAAGGCCTTCAAGCGGCCCTCGGACCTGCGACAGCATGAGCGCACGCACAGCGCAGAGCGGCCCTTCAAGTGCGACCTGTGCCCCATGGGCTTCAAGCAGCAGTATGCGCTGATGCGGCATCGGCGCACGCACAAGACCGAGGAGCCCTTCAAGTGCGGGCTGTGTGAGAAGGGCTTCGGGCAGCCCAGCCACCTGCTCTACCACCAGCACGTGCACACCCTGGAGACTCTCTTCAAATGCCCGGTGTGCCAGAAGGGCTTCGACCAGTCAGCGGAGCTACTGCGCCACAAGTGCCTGCCAGGCTCCACTGAGCGGCCCTTCAAATGTCCGGTGTGTAACAAGGCCTACAAGCGGGCGTCGGCCCTGCAGAAGCACCAGCTGTCACACTGCGCAGCCGCAGAGAAGCCCCTCCGTTGCACCCTGTGCGAGCGTCGCTTTTTTTCCTCCTCCGAGTTCGTGCAGCACCGCTGCGACCCAGCCCGTGAGAAGCCACTCAAGTGCCCAGACTGCGAGAAGCGCTTCAAATATGCTTCAGACCTGCAGCGGCACCGGCGTGTACACACGGGTGAGAAACCCTACAAATGCCCCAACTGCGACAAAGCCTTCAAGCAGCGGGAGCATCTCAATAAGCACCAGGGTGTGCACGCGCGTGAACAGCAGTTCAAGTGTGTATGGTGTGGGGAGCGCTTCCTGGATGTGGCGCTGCTGCAGGAGCACAGCGCGCAGCATAGTGCTGCGGCGGCAGCTGCAGAGGGTGCCTACCAGGTAGCAGCCTGCCTGCCCTAAGGCTAGTGGGCCACCTGCCCCGCCCAGCCAAGCTTCACCTGCTTGTAGCTGCATGGTACCAAGTCTTGTCACCCAGCTCCCATGTGAGGCCCTAGGAGTGAGGACAGAAGGTTCCAGGGCAGGTGGAAGGTGCCCATACTTAGAATTCCTAGCACCAGCCTGGCAGTGGGAGAGCCAGAATGCTGTGGCCAAGCCTGATTCTATTAACCTCTTCCCCATGACAGGATTTGCTTTCTGAGAGCCCTGTTGCCCCTCTCCCCTCAACCTATGCGGGCCTGGGATCCCACTTGGCAGTCAAGTGGCCCCTTTATCCCCAGTATGGGGGATGCCAACCCAGCCCTCCCAAATCTTTCATCCTAGTTAGAAACCAAGTGACTTAGGAAGAAGGAAGGTTATAGTAGAGCACCCTCAAGTTGATCTTTAGAGGACAAAGCCAGCTTTGTGACAGTCCTGGAGATATGGGGTGTAGACCATGACCTACAGTCCTCTGTAGCCCAGCCAGGACTGAGGTGACCCCTAAGTTTCTGATAGTTGAGATGTGTAGTATAGGAGTCTTTGGGCAGGGTCTGCTTAGAGACTAGGGGCCCAGTCAGAAGGGGAAAGCAGAGAGGATCTGGTGATGCCCTCAGTTATCACAGGGAGAGGAGCACAAGCAGCCCGTGTGCTGAGGGCTGATCCTGTGACTTTGGAAGCCCCCTCCTGCCTGTGAGCGGTCCCAAGCTGTGAGGTTGTGAATGTACCCTTAGCCAGGCAAGACTGCTGTTGTGGAAGGAGAGGACTGTTAGTCTCCTTTACCCCATTCCTGGGGCTGGGAGGAAGGAGGACCAAGCCCACAATCTTCTCAGCAAATACAGACAAATTCTTTCCTCTCAAAATTTATGAACCAAAGTGTCGGGCTCAGAGGCATGGCCTCAGCTTGCCCCAGTCCTGCCTCAGGGCCAAATGCAGGCCTGGGTGTCCAGTGTGGGGAATGGTGTTTGATCTCACAGTGCCCTCCCAGCCCATGGGATACCCACTCCAACACTGATTGCAGACCCTAAGGATCTTCGGTTGCCAAAACACTGTTCTCTTTTGAGTGAGGCTTCCTAGAGTCCTCCTGGGTCTGTGGCTGTCCACAGACTGCCTCCTGAGGTGAACAGGAGGTCAGAAGGATAAAAGAGCCTAGAAGGTAATTGCTCCTGACAGGTGCATGGACAGCCACCATCACTGGACGGCTCCTCAGGAGCCTGGAGGACCTTTGTTGTCAAAGTCATCCTTCTGAGCCCAGCCCTGTCCATGCCCTTTTCAGCCCCCGCCCTCCTAGTCATGAGTCTTGAAAGATTGACCAGCACATATGCCAAGTGCCCAGAGGGTGCTACTTACCTCTCACCTTATGAAGTCCAACTGGCCATATCCACCTGCTCTGTCTGCCCAGGTTCCCTCCTGTGCCCACAGGGACAGGCTGGAACTTCTCTTGGCTGGTTCTTGGTCACTAAGCCTCAAAAGACTGGAATCCAGGCTCACGACAGTCCAGTCCCAACTGTTCATTTTTTTCCTTACATTTTGCTTTCTAAAAGCAGTTTGTTATAACATTGTACAGCTTAATTTCATGTCATTTTGGATCTTATGAATGTGAGAGTTTGGATGTTTGAAAAGAATGACTCCATTTTAGGTATCCACTGTTGATATGTATACATAGTGAGTCTGATGTCTGCTTTAGAAGTAAAGACACTGACCATTGCAGACCACAGCTCTTCTCATTCTTCTGAGAGGGAGTGATGGGCCCTGCACGGGCTGATAGTCATGCAGACCAGTGTTACAGGTTGGGTTGGGACACAGGGCTGGGCTTGAATCCTGAGATTTGAACATCTGACGCATGACTTTGGGCTGGTCACCCAAACTCTTTAGGACTCATTCACCTCATCTGTCCAAAAAAAAAGGAAGTTAGTTTGCCTCATTGTTGTGAGAATTATATGGAGTCTTGGTGAGGCCCTGGGTTATGGACTTGCTGACGGTTATCAAGTATAGCACACCTGCCCCCCACCTGATTGAGGTTTAACCACAACTCCTGAGGAGTGAACTGGGCTGTGAGACCAGCAACTCATGGAAGGCCAGAGGCTGGAGACTGGGCCTGGTAAGCCTGGGCTTAGCCTGAGGTTGTCACATACCTCTCTTGTACCCCATACCTGCCCCCAGCAGCCTACCTGCCACTCGGGCACTTTCCTTTTCTCAAAGGCCATAGTAGGGCTGGAGAGAGAAGTAGCCCCTACCTAGGCCTGGTATCTGAGGCCAGGAACATCCTGTCCTAGATGGAGAAGGGTGAGGGTAGAAGGTTCAAAGGATAGGGAGCTGCTCACTCTGTAAGTGTTCCAGAAACTGGCCCAGACTGTGTGGCCCCTAAGGACCCAGGACGTTCCTTCCTATAGGCTTCTGCTGCTCAGCAGGTAGCCTTTTCTGCCAGGCTCAAGGCCTAGCTTACTCTTCCGTTGTATGGCCTTAGGCAAAACTCCTCGACTTGGTGGCCGGGTAGACCTGAACATTTAGAGGCCCAGGAATTTCCCAAGCCACACGGTGCAAAAGCTGTAGAACTGTGGGGGTTGGCAGATGAACTTGGGACTTAACACTGTTGGAGGACTGGCAGTATGGCCCAGGACAGCACTGGCACTCTGGCTTCATCTACCATTTTCTGACCAGGAAGTTGGAAACATGACCAGGACTGTCCCTGACACTCAGTCTGGCCAGGAAGCATGGCCACAGATATCCCCCCACCCCACCCCCAAGCTGGCTTTAAGCTCCTTGAGAGATGGAAGTTACTGTGCTGTATCTTCCCAGGCAGGTTGCACTATCTCCTTAAAGGGCCAGCACCTCCAGGCCACTTTTGTGAAACGTCATCTCCAGCCTACATCCTCCTTCCCAGCCTGCAAACCTGCTTCTCGCTCCTCCAGAGCAGACCTTGGGCCCAACCTAGACTACCCAGCTTGTGGAAATTCACTCAAGGCCTCCCACGAGACTGGTGACAAACAAGTGGTTTCTTTGTTCCTGGAAAGTCACCTCTAGGAAGAGCCTTGGCTGCTATTGATCTCACATCTCCAAAGGTTCCTGCTGTAATTCCTTGGGTCAATTGTGTGTATGTGTGTGGTGGGGGGGGTTGTGAGTTATGGGGTCTCCCTCTTCACCGTGTCCCCATTCCATCCTAGCTTTGCATTCCTGCCTTTGTTCTTTCACCCACAGCCATAACTGAGTACCTGCTGTTTGCTAGGCATGAAGCAAGAACTTCAGATGAGAGAGTTTAACTGGTTTCATGAACTTCAAAAAGTAGAGTAGGGGCTGGGGAGATGGCTCAGTTAGTGTAGGGCCTGCTGCTCAAGCATGAGGACCTGAGTTTAGATCTCCAGCACCCACATAATAAAGCTAGGCATGGTTGCATGAGTCTGTAACCCTGGACCAGGGGTGTGGGGGGACATGATGGGGTGTAGGCAGTGTCAGGACATGTTGGCACATGAACCCAATTAGCACTGGGTTCAGTGAGAGACCCTGTCTTAAAAAAAATAAGGTAGTGATCGAGGAAGATACTTGATGTCAACCTCTGGCCTTCACAAATGTGCATTCCCACATGTGTGCACACACACAAAAGGTAGAGTAAGAAAATGTCAAAACTGCTGACCCCTAGGACATAGTGTGTGATCTTCATCCCATCCCACCTCAGCTTGAGCTTTGCCCTGTTCCTGAGCCTACCCTGGTGCCAGCCCCAGGCCCTGGGCTATGATGTGTGTTTCCCATGTTGTTTGTAATAAACACCACTGTTACTTTATAGTAGGACTTTCATTCAGTTCAAATTTTCCTGCACTGGTTCCAGGGGTCCCAGACCTCATTCCTGAGAGAGGTAAGAGGAGCTGGCAAGCAAGCCCACTGGCCAGAGGCATGGATGAGTCTCCTCAAACAGCCAGGGTCCCTGCACTTGCAGTCTTGGGGAAGAGAGTGGGGAGGAGGAGGATATGAGAGAGGCCTTTCTGGAAGAAAGGGTGAGACTGAGGAGGAAGAGTTTGGAAAGCATTTCTGGTGAAAGGACAGCTTTGAACAAAGTTTTGGAGCCTGGGGGTGGGTAGACCAGCAAGGAAGCTGGTGCTGGGTTTGTGGTGGACTAAAGGTCAGAGAATTGGATTGGGGTCAGGCCTGAAATTTCCAAAGATGAAATCATGGTGGTTGGACTATCCCAAAGTCATGGCATGACTGTAGTGAAGATTTCTGATGGGATCTCTTTATGATGAGCCAAAATCTCTGAAACTGAGAGGTCAAGGCTGGGAGGCAGGAGATACTGCCGGTCATTCTGAGGGAGATCCTGTGTCTCATTGTTTCCCAGGCTGGTTTGCAACTCCTGGACTGAGTTGATCCTCCTGCCTCAGCCCCCTAATTATCTGGGACTGCAGGTGCATGCTACCTGGCGTGGCTTCTGAGAGCTTTCTAATAGGACATTGCTTCCTTCCAAGCCCATCTTATGTCTCCAGCCCCAGGAAACCCTTTTGCTTTCTTCCCCACTCCTGCTTGTACCTCTTAGCAGAGAGGAATAGAATGTAGTGACCATAGTCTCACCTGCCTGCAATTCCCAGCTCTGCTAGTCACTGGCCCTGTGACCTTGGGCTCATCGCAACTCCCTCAAGTTCATTTCTTTCACTAGCTATAAAATGGGTCTAAAATGACTCCCTTGTGGGGCTGTGAAGCATTTTGACTTAAGAATAGACACTGCACACTAAATTGGTTTTGCTTGTTTTCTACTCTATTTTTAGGCATAGTTTTTTACTTAATGTATTTAATGAAGTCAGGATTAAATGTACAGTCAGTGGATAGGAATTTTTAATTGCTGCTCTGGATTGGCATCCACAGTGCCCTGGGATGGAGGAACATGGTTTCAGGTTTAATGTGACAGCCTGCTTACCTATTTCTCCCATTTGACTCAGAGCATCTCTAAGACAAGGGTGGCATCTCCAATACACACCAGACTGCTGGCCCAGGCAAAGGCCTCAAAGCTGGGTCACATCCTGGGGTGAACTTGTTCAGTGATACTGGGTCAAGGAAGCAGGCACAGAGAAGAGAGCCCAGTCATTCTGTCCCCTCTTACACACTTCAGCATGCTCATTTGAGCTCTCCAGTGTCCAAGGTAGGGCTCTAGCATCCCTGCCGGGAGCCTTGGACAGGGTCCATTTCTTCTGTCATTTGAAGGGAACACTTGTACCTCTGATATCCCAAGGGGCTCTGCCAGTGGCTTCCCAAAGCTGTCTACTGTGTTTGCAGGGAGGAGGATGGGTACATCCTCACTGGACCCTGAGGAAGAAGGGGCTCCTCTTCCCCAAGCTCCTGCCTTCTGCCCTGTTGCCACCAAAACCTCATATTTGAAGATAGAGATGGAAACCTTAGTTCTTTGTCAGTATAAGGGCAGTGACTGTCTCTTCTACCCACAAAAGAAAACACAACCATCCTTAACTTTGTAACACAGGCTGTCTGCATATCAAACACAACACAAACCTACCTTTGTGTGTGTGTGGTGCTAGGGATTGAACACAGGTCTCATGTACTAGGCAAGTGTTCTGCCACTGAGCTACTACTGCCCAGCCCACAGCCTATTTTCTTATTAGCCGAAGTTAAGCAGAAAGACTACTTTTCTGGAAAACAACTTGTTCTATAGAGCTGAGCATAGACCATATGTGAACCCTTTGCCAAGTACTGGGACTTTCTTGAGATCTGGGTTCTGGGTTTGGCCTGAGGCTGACCTCTTGCTTTACCTGCCAGTTCCATCATCAGTGAAACAAGGATCACAGGGTATGGCTCACATCCCAGGGTTCTGGCACAGCCCAGGGAAAATACAGGTTGATAATGCATTCTGACCTGTGAAGTCATTTTTCTTTCAGTTCTTTCCTCCTGAGGCCCTGGACTTGTATGTAGCAGCTATGCAGTGCCTAGGGTTGGAGGAGAAGGAGAGGGTGTGAACAAGGAGTTCCTAACCATTGTGGACACGGACTTTACTGAGGATCGGATGAAAAGGGAACTATCCATGGAAGATACCCTGCATGTGGATATGTGACTTTGTATGTGATTTCAGGTGGAAATCTGTGGATCTGTGAGGGTCCAGGGCAGCCCCAGGACCAGAAACCTCAAACTGAATTCTTGAGTTTGGTGGCTATTTGTTCCAATGGGGGCCTGTCTGTGAAGACTGCCCATGGGTAGGGTGGGATATGGAAGGCCCAGGAGCTAACACAGCTGCCCTAACAGCACCAGGCCAAGACCCTCTTCCTTGGGGCTCCCCTGCGTCTAGGCCAGACCATTATGCCTGCTATTAATGGGGAGTAGGGTCATGACTAGGAGGGGGGCCATGAATGAGGGCTAGTCCTGCTGCTCATAGGTAGAACAGACACCCTTCTACTTAGGTGATAACATTTCTTAGCAGAATGTTCTGATACTTATCCAGGTTTATATTAGAGTTCGGCTGCCTCGCAAGGAACAGAGGGCACAAGCCTAGCATGCTCCCTTTCCTTCAAGGAGGCTCGGATGCCCTAAAGTACACCAGTATGGTAAGGGTTCAGAGAGGTACCACAAATCCCCCTCTCAATACCCTCCTGCCCTTCCAGGGTTCAAACTCGGGCTCTGAGAGGCTGCAAATTCAGGATCTTGGGTTGGAGCTACAAGCAAGACAAGAGCATCAGAGAAACCCAGTGTGTGGGCTGCCCTTGTGCCTTGACCCCAACTGGCTCCAGGCTTAGACTGTGATACTCCACTCAAGGCCACCAAATATCCTTTACCACCCCCTACATCTTCCTCCCCATTCCCAAGGAGCTGGCAGAGGGCAGGCAAGGGTAATACGTTGTCATCTGTGATCCTGACCCTCCTCCAACCTGCCATACATGTCCTCCAAGGGCAACTGCACTCACATGTGCGCGCGCGCGCACACACACACACACACACACACACACACACACACACACACACACAGAGGTTTCCCAAGAAAGCATTAGGTTTATTTCTTGAACTGAACTCCCGGGGAGATGAGTGGTGCCACCATAGGCCCTCTGTCCTGCTAGGGACAGCCAGAGGGGGATCAGCCTCCTTTTCACAGATTAATGCCAGGGAGTCAGATAGTTGATATGACTGTGGAGAGAAAGAGGGATGAGGTGGGGACTCTAGGGTACCCTGAAGAAAAATCAAGTTGGCTTTCCCTAGCCCCCACCTCCATTCCAAAGCCTACTTCTCTACTCTCGCATCTGAAAACAGTTTCCATTCAGTCTGTGTGTGGCTCAAGACCCTTCAATGGCTTTCTAATTTCCTTTTGTATAGGTTTGGCTGTTCCTCACTATACACACTTCCAATTCACCTTACACCATTTCCCACTGCCTCCCAACTATAACAGCATCATGGGTTTTTCAGTTGTACATGAACGAATTCTGGTATTACACGCTAGTAAAAAACAAAGTTTTCCTGTATGTGTGTGAGGAAGGCAGCTTTTCACCAACAGGACCATGCAGCAGTCTGGTTGCTACAAGCTAGGGGTGAAATAGTGTAAGAGCTGTGGGGAGAGGCCTGGGGCAGGCAAGACTTCCAGGAGGCTGGGACGGCTGGGCTGGCTTTAAAGAGTAGAAGGAAGAACCTGCTAGGCACAGAGATAGCACAAGTGAGGTCCCATGGTGTTTGGTTGTACTGGTGGTAGCGTGGCACTAAGTTGTCTGGTATTGCTAAGGTGCCCAGGACAAAGCTGGAGAGGGACCAAACAGAGTTGGGAAAAGTCTCACAGTACTCCGCACTTTCACCCTATGTAAGTGCCTTTACTCCCCGGTGACCCAAGTGGGGGTGCCACTGTACAGATGTCTGCTCACCATCCTCCCCGGTACCCCCCTTCCGGCCTTTTCAGGGCCAAATGTGGTGGAAAAGCACCTCCTTCCCAAACCAGCTGAGTGGCAGGTGGATCTAGGGCTGAGCATCCTTTGAGTCCCTAGGGCCGCCCGAGGGGGCGGGGCCATCCCTTACCTGTAGTGGGAGCCAAAGTGCCGGAACACATTCCTGCGAAAGAACCTAGGGTGAACCCCTGAACGCCCCGCTCCCTAGGGGTGCCGGGGACGGGCGGACAGGAATTAAATGCCTGTAAAGCAGCTACGATCCCTCTTCCCTGCTCCAGGCTCGGGGTCTGGGGCTCGTGGCCTCACTTACAGCGAGTCGAAAGGCAGGGGCTTCTGTCCGAAGCGGTCTAGGCTGGGGTTCTGGTTAAGGCAGTACTGGGGCGGGCCACAGGGATAAAGACTGGTAAGCCAGGGGAGCTCGGACTCCCACACAAACCACAGCACTCCCTCCCGGACACTAGGGCCCTGGGAGACCCTGCCCTGGGCCTCCTCGCTCCCCACCCCTCTCACGCCCCCTGCTTTAAGTCGCTTCACATCAGGACCCCGAGAACCGTTCAGCACGCATCTTCCCTACCCTCCAGTTCTGGGTCACTTCCGGCCTCAGGTACCGCACTGCGTAGCCTCTGAAACTCTCAACTGCAGAGAGAGTCCATCTTGGACAACAGGCGGCGAACAGACCCCGCCCTCCCTCAGCGAAGCCCCGCCTCTGCACAGAAGCCCAGCTCCCCACAAACCTCGCCTCCAGCTACCTGCTTGGACCAGGCCCTGCTTTTCTAACCTGCTGGGCCAGTTCCAGAACCAGCTTTGTTCTCAGCGGCTACCCTGACCAGGACCTGGACTTGTCTCTGTGCCCCTAACCCAAGACAGGCGCCTCCTCCAGGTCCCTCTGCCTGTCTCAGCCTTGCCTGCCTTAGCTGCCCCAGCTGCTCCCGGCACCCTGCACTGTGCCGGTCGGCCAGCCTACAGTTCTCGCTCCCTGCTCCAGACGCGCCACCCAGCTGTCAGCAAGCTCTCCCTCCCTAGAGCATCCTCTGAGGTTGGTAGACTGACCCCTCTTGTTTGCACAAGGCAGCTTGAACTCGCCGGCCGTGGACACCAAGTGGGACCAGTCCTCGATGGCACGCGTGAAGCAGGGCCAGTCTACCCGATTCATACCTGGCGCGATGGGCACCAGCTTTCCCTCGCGGTACCTTTGGCAGAGCTTCCGGCCGGCCCCTGTCAAGTCCTGCGGAGTGATGGGTTAGGACCATAGCGGCAGGTGCAAGACCTTGGGGCTTCCTAGACCACCCCACAGGCCTAAGCCGATCTTAGGCCCATCCGACCGAGAGGGTGCAGACAACCGGGACCTAGATTGGCTGGGGGTGGGAGGATCCCACGTAGGCAGCAGAGGACAAGCTCAAATAGTAGTGGCTAGGACCAAAGTTGCCTGGGGCTGGGACAGGCTGGTGTTTCTGAGCAAACTCAGGGTTAGGGACAAAGGACACTTACCAAGCATTGCAAGGGTTTGTTGGGGACTCCCAGGAGTGTGAAGTGGGCCTTGTCAAACTCATCTGTTGAAAGAAGATAAAAGTATCCCTCCAGCTTGGGCCAACCCTTTTTATTAAGAGAAAAAAAAAAATGTTAGTTTTGCCGGAGATGGTAAATCATGGCCAGGCACTAAAGAGGCAAAAGCAGGTGGATCTCTGTAAGTCTGAGGCCATCTTGGTCTACATTTTGATTTCTAGGTCAATCAGGGCTATATAGTAAGACCCTGCCTCAAAGAAAAAAAGGTTAGTTTTTAAATGTTTAAGAAAAAAAGTTCGTATTTCTTACAATAAGGTAAACTCCATAGAGAGCAGTGTTAAAAAAAATGAAACCATAGAAGTGCTACAAGAAAATGTGGATAAATTCCCCTATAGCCCTGAGATGGGGCCTTATTAATCCCACCTAAAAAGTCAAAAACTGAAAGAAAAGACCAATAATTTTGACTACATGAAAATAAACACAAGGCCGACGAGACAGCTCAATGGGTAAAAGCACTTGCCCAACTGAGCCTGAGGATCTGAGTGTGATTCCCGGTGCCCACTTGATGGAAGGAGAGAACCAACTCCCTAGAGTTGTCCTCTGACTTCCACCTGTGAGCACACACACAGGGAAAAAGAATAAACACACTAAAAAATAAATGCAAAAGGCATCAAAAGACAAATGGAAACTATTTCTACTAATTTTTTTTTTTTTGGTCTTTTTGAGACACGGTCTCCCTGTAGCCCCAGCTGTCCTTGAACTCACAGAGATCTGCCTGCCTCTGCCTCCCGAGTGCTGAGGTTAAATGTGTGTGCCACCACGCCCGGCTTATTTCTACTAATTTTACAGATGCAATTTCTTTCATGTGGAAGAGTTCCTAGAAATCAAGATCAAATGTCATGCCTAAGTAGCTCACACACAAATACTAGAAATACATATGGCTACAGAGAAAGATGCCTGGCTTCATTCATAGCAAATTGAGTGTGTATTTAAACTACATTAAGGTACCGATTTCCACCTATAAGATTAGATGGAGAACAATCTAAAAAGTTATAGGAAATGACCCTCATCATACATTGCCAGAGACCATGTAAATTGAGTGGAGCCGACAGAGAGCGCTCAGTATTACCTATCGGAATTATGAAAACATACGTGCCCTTTGACCCCACAGCCTGGCGGTGAGTGCACAAATAATGTAAGGAGAAGGTGACCCATTTCAATATTGTTTGTAATAGCAATTGACTAGAAGGAATGAAAGTGTCATTAAACCAAATAAACATACTACATCTGCACTGTGGAACTACTAAAAATAACTTGAGAGTAGGGAGTGTTGGTGCATGCCTGTAATTCCAGCACTTGAGGTGGAGGTAGGGGGATTATGAGCTTGAGGCTAGTGTGGACTACATAGTAAGACTTGGTCTCAAAAAGTGAAGGGCTGGGGCTGTAGCTCAGTGGCAGAACACTTGCCTAGCATGTGCAAGGCCCTGGGTTCGATTTCTGGCACCATAAAAAGGTAATAATTTGAGACCATTTGTTTAGAATCTAAAACTTATGACTATTGGAGTCCACAAAGGGTACACAGTATACAATTAGTGTGCCACCTTATCTGAGTTGTTAACATTAGCAGCAAGAACTGTAAACAGTTTCATATTCCAGCTACAGCATGAGGTCAGCTATGATACGCTGAACCTGACTAGTCAGGCCTCTAGATCTAGCTTCTGGTTCAACATGGTAACAAACACCCTAGAATCAATTGTTGAAAGTCACCATATGGAACTTTCTAAAACACAGCTGTCTGGGACTCTTTAAAAGTCAATAGTACAGCCAAGCATGGTGGTGCACGCCTTTAGTCTCAGCACTTGGGAGGCAGAGGCAGGCAGATCTCTTGTGAGTTCAAGGCCAGCCTGGTCTACATAGTGAGTTCCAGGCCAGCTGGTGCTATAGGGAGACTCTGTCTCAAAAAAAGACCCCCCCCCAAAAAAAAAGTCAGTAGTACAGGGAGCTGGGTGATGCAGGCCTTTAATCCCAGCACTTAAGAAGCAGAGGCAGGCAGATCTCTGTGAGTTTGAGTCCAATCTGGTTACATAGCAAGTTCTGGGCCAGCTGGGCTACAGGGAGACCCTGTCTCAAAAAGACCAAAAAGAAAAAAAAAAAGTCAATAGTACAGGGGCTAGGGAAATGGCTCAGTGGTTAAGAGCACTGGCTGTTCTTGCAGAGGACCCAGGTTTTTGTTCCCAACACCCACATCATAGCAGCTAACAACTGTCTGTAACTCCAGTTCCAGGGGATCCATTGCCCTCTTCTGGCCTCTGTGGGCATTGCACAACATAGGTACACATGCAGGCAAAACACTCATACACATAAAATAAAAATAAACCATTTTTAAAAAGTTAGTACGGGGCTGGAGAGGTCGTTCAGTGGTTAAGACACTGACTGCTCTTTCGGAGGACCCGGGTCAATTCCCAGCACCCACATGGTGGCTATGAACTGTCCTTAACTCCAGTTCCAGGGGAATCTGAAGCCCTCGTCTGACTTCTGTGGCATTGCACAACATGGGTGCACTCACATACATGCAGGCAACGCACTCATACATATTAAATAAAAATAACATAAAATATTTTAAAAGTTAGTAGTACGGGAAGAAATGAGAATGAATGGAAAATTGTTTTAGGCTAAGCTCAAGACTTAACAACTGTTGTGATGTATAACCCTAGATTCAATCCCATTTCTATTTGTTAAATTTTATTTTTGATTGTATGTGTGTGCACATGTATGTGAATGAAGTTGCCCTTGGAGGCCAGAAGAGGCTATTGGATTCCCTGGAGCTCAAGTTGCAGGAGGTTGTGAGCGTCCCTGTATGGGTCCTCAGAACTGAACTCAGATCCTTTGCAAAAAAAGTACATGCTAGCACCACTGAGCCATTGCTCCGGCCTCTCCCCCACCCCATTTCTATTTTTTAAGCTATAAGAGATATCTTTTGAATATCAGGAAAGATTTTTGAAAATTTTAATTTATTTTTTTATTTTATGTGTATGAGTGTATTGCCTGCATGTGTGTAAAGTGCACCTGTGTTGTGCAATGCCTATGGAGGTCAGAAGAAGGTGTCAGATTCCCCCAGAACTGGAGCTGCCATGTGGGTGCTGGGACTCAGTTGTTAGCTGCCATGTGTGTGCTGGGAATCAAACCCAGGTCCTCTGCAAGAGCAGTCAGTGCTCTTAACCACTGAACCATCTCTCCAGCCCCATATCTGGAGAGATTTTAAGGTGTGGTGGCTATTAGATGTTATGGAATTATTAACTTTCCTAGGTATGCTAATGGTATTATGAGATGTAAGAGGCTGTCCTTGTCATTGAGAACAGCTTGGCAAAATTTTGCATGCACACACATTTATGAATGTGAAGGAGAGAAGAGGAGAGAAAAAGGAAAAGAGGAGGAAGAAAATAGAAAGGAAAGGGAAGAAGGGAGAAGGGAGAGGGAGAGGGAGGAGGAAAGCAAGAGAGATCTTGCGTGGGAGGAAGTTGTTCTATGATTATTCCTGCTATAACAGCAGCAAGTCTGTGCCTGAGCAGTAACATGCACAGACAGACAGACAGACAAACAGACAGACACACTTGGGCATTTGAGCACTCGCCACCCCACTCCACTGTATGGCTTTGCCAGTAAGAAGGCCAGGATCAGCCAGGTTTGGGACAACATACCTGTATTCAGCACTTGGAGGCTGAGACTGGAGCAGAATTTAATACCCAGCCTACATATTGAGACAGTCTCAAAAGAGATGAGGAGGAGGAGGAGGAGAAGGAGGGGGAGGGGGAGGGGGAGGGAGAGGAGGAGGAGGGCCATTATTAGATGTGGCTCCTCTACTCTGAACCTTCACAATTGTGAGTCAGAGGAAAACTTCTTTTGTTCAAACTCAAAAACAACACTGCCATCACAACAGCAGCGAGGACTTGTCTTTGAGCAGATGCAATGCACCAGTACTTCTCACCCCTTAGTTCATTTCAGCCTCATTTTTCTGCTCAGGAAGCAGAGGCTAGACCTCAGAGGGGGTTTCTAGAAGATAGCTGGGCTGGCCTCCCTCACCCTTGCATCTGCTGTGTGTGCCCAGACTTTCCTTCCAATATTTCCATCCTTGAACAGGCACTCCTGCTCCAAAGGCTCCCGGGGACCCCCCCCCCCCCCGCCCGCAAGTTGCTGCTGGGGGAGTGGCCTGACCTTTTTGGCAGTAGGTGGAAGACTGGGAGTGCTCATCTGAGAGACAGCCCTTGACCGTGTCCATGTCCATGCGCCGCAGAGTGGGCAGGAACGGGTGGTACAGCTGGTGCTTCACGCCGGCCAGTGGATTGCGCACACGCTCTAGCGGGATCAGGATGGCCGGGGAAGTATAAACATGGGTGGAGCCATCGTCCCAGGGCACTAAGTCGATGATGCGGGCCATAGCTGGGGAGCAGAGGGTCTGAGTCAGATGCCCTGCTCTGTTGGCACACTACTTATCGAGCATTTATTGAGCCCCTTCTGTGTGCCAGGTCATTTTTTCAGGAACTGCACACAGGGCAGCTGGGACACACAAACAGACACATATGCACACCTGCAGGCACACACATCTAGAGCTGTGAGGGAGGTCAGCACAGAATATGTGGGTCTGGGAGGCTGGAATTGGGCTATTCCAGGAGTGGCCTAAGAGAGGTGGTACTTATTAAATATTGAATAGGAAAAGGTTAGAGCTAATAAGCTCAGAACATAGCTTAGAATGCTATGAGACTCTAGGTAGCCAATTCCAGATTTACCTTGGCTAAGGTATATGACCACAGACAGACTAGACTGTTTTAAAGAAGGGGGAGAGACAGGATAGATCTGAATTGAAAAAAACAGATGGTTACTTTGTGCCTCTCTTTTAAAAAGCAGGTAGCCCCAGGAGACCCCTTCTAGTTATTTACAGTTGAGTGAGAATTGGTTGATTCTGCTTGCTTGCTTCCTGATCCCCAAGTTTGAGGTGAGAGGTGGAAGTAGGAAGTAGGTAGGCAGGAGGAAAGAGAACCTGGACCATGAGGATGCTGGAGGGACATGGGTCTTGAGGAAGGGTAGGGAGGTAGAGCAGCACAGAGAGCAAGGAAGAGAGAGAGCTCCCTGCCATCATCCACTCACAGAAGCTACCTCATCTGTAGCGCCCAGGTCCAGGCACACTGGCAGGTACGTTCTTTCTGCTCTTCAGCTGCTCAGTGGGCAGAGGAAAGGAGGTAGGCAGGCTCTGTGGGCAGCAACAGGATAAGGAGCCAGCAGAGACAATGCCCTCTGCAGCCTGATTGTGAGGACATGGCTCCCAGGCAACCCTGATAACCTAGGCTGCTAGGGTCCCTCCTGGGTACCCAGTCCCAGAAGTCTCTGTGGCCTCTGCACAAGCCAGGCATTTTGGGAAATGTCATAGCTGGAGCTCTATGGATGACCCACTTCAGACTGTGTGACCCTGGTCTAGTTACTCCCTCTCTCTGGTCCTCAAGAGTCCTGTCTGTGTTAGGCAAGGGCCCTGGGCTCTGCAATAGGGCTGTTTGTGAGCTTTAAGGGCCTCTGCAAATCTCAGGGAAGAATATACCTCGTCTGCTAGTCCTTAGTCTCTGAGTGTGGAGATTAGCCCAGAATCCAGGGTTAGGGCGGGGATCAGGCAGAGTGGTGGCCTTAGCAGGCCAGGGATTAACAGATCCACCCCACCCCAACCCCACCACCGGGGAGGGGGCCTGCAGCCCTCCTCCCTTCCAGGAAAGCCAGTCTGTGGGTGCACGAGTGCAGCACCCTGAAGCCTTGGGATTAGAGAGACGAAGTCCAAGGTTGGGAAGCCTGGGGCAACCAGCTCTTTTTGTATACATTGGCATATGATTTACATCTACTTTTGAGGGTGCTGAGCCTGAAAGAGCTGGGATTCCCTTTTGTTAGACTCCTGCAAGATCTGGTTCCTGGCTGCTCCTCCCCTGGTCCCCTGGTCCTCCATGGGGTCCTCTATAGGGACCCAGGGGCCTGAAACAGAACCCCCAAGTTCTTCCCCTACAGAAATGTACCCAGAGCTGACTCTATTCACCAACACCCAATCTAAGCTTTAACTCTTAAACCTGGAAAATATAGAAAGCACATAAATGAACAATTTAGTAATTTATAAATTGAGACTGCTACTCAGGTCAAGGTATGGGGTACTAACTTTGTAAAACGGTTTAGTCGTTTCTTAAAAAGTGGAGCATGAGTCAAGCAGGCTAGCATCTGGTTCTAATCCCAGTACTCTGGAAGCTGAGGTTGGAGGATCTTGAGATCAGTGCCAGCCTAGGTTACATAGTGAGAGACCCTGTCTCCAAAAACCCCTAAATTAACAACAGGAAGCAAATTTACAATATGATTGAGTCAAACAGAAGATTTACCCCTAGAAACTATCCTAAAGTGCCCACTCAGGACTGACATGCAGATACTCAGAGCTACATGGCTTCTAAGCAGGAGGTGGAACAAGCCAGGTGTCCATTGGCCAGTGAGTTGAGAAACGAACTATGGTGTGTCTATATCACAGTACTGACAGGCAACAGCAAGGACACGTTGTACTGATACACTCATTGTCCAAGGTGGGTGAGCCTTTGCCACATGCTACATGAAAGAAACCAGACTCCAGCCCCTCCTCCCCCCCTTAGATTATGTGATCTGTCTACATAAAATGTCCAGACAAGACTGAGATGTAACTCAGCTGGAAGACTTCTGCTCTCCAATACACAAAGCCCTGGCTTCCTCTCCCAGCACTGCTTCAACTGGGTATGGTGGGACACATCTATAATTTCAGCACGCAGGAAGTAGAGGCAGGAAGATCTGAAGTTCAAGGTCACCGTCAGCTATGTAGTGAATTTGAGGCTAACCCGGGCTACACGAGACCATGTCTCAGAAAAAAAAAGAACTCCAGACAAGGTAAATCTCTAGACAGAAGTCCAGATTATTGGTTGACACACATAGGGGAAGGATGGAAAGGGACTGTCGTCCAGCAAGAAGACTGCTTCTCACACATCTTCACAAACTCAAAAGGCCGTGGTTTCACTTCAGAACTTTCCCTCCCAGCTTCCAGCCCCAGGATTTTTGGCAAATGTGTCACCTGTTCCCACTGCCCAAGCTGAAGATGCTCAACACTTCCTTTTGTCCTCTCCTATCTAGCCCAAGCTGGTCACCTCTCTCCGTCAAGCCAGCAGCATAGTGACCATCCCTGATGACACAGGCCAATATTCAATGTCCCAAGAAGAGCAGAAGAGAGCCCCCCATTCCCCTGGGGGCCTGGATGGAGGTGCTGGGAGAAGGCACCGTTGTCCTTGTAGCTTAGTATCTTTACAGAGAAGGGACAGGGGCCGCTTGGAACTTGTCATTGGCCTTCACCTTGGGGTTTGCATATCAGATGCTTTTATTTAAAAATTTTAAGTTACATTTATTTATTCATTGTGTGTGTGTTGTGTGTTTGTACATTGGATATGCAAGTGTCATGGTACATGTGTGGAAGTCGGAGGATAACTTGCAGAAGTTAGTTTTCTCCTGCTACCATGTGGGTCCTGGGGAATTGGGGAATAAACTCAAGTTGTCAGGCTTGGTGGCAAGTATCTTTATGCACCCCCCACCCCAGTCATCTTGCTGGCTCCACATCAGATGTCTTTAAGCCCACTAGAGGGAGTGCCCAGGCCCTGCCCTTAAATGTTAGTTTCCTGGGGAGACACACAGAAATGCCTAGATAGGGCCTCAGACAGGACATGATCATATGAAAGAATGATTCTACCCAAGCCCAACATGGTGAGCCAATGAATTTATTGGAGGTGTTTCCAAGAGCATGGTTGAGCAAAATCAGCTGCATCAGTGACAAGCCCATTCTAGCTTGAGTGACAACTCGCAAAAGGCACAGCACTGGGGTCCCAACATCCATCCTACTATAACTCTTAAGACCATGTGCAGCTGGAGTAGGGTTAAATACAGTCATGGGGGTAGGAAGCCATGATTGGAATCTCAGGTGAGTGGCTGATGACCTTTCACCCCAAGGATGAAATGGTAACTGCCCCACCTTGTTGTGGTCTGGTGAGTACGGCTATTCCAATTTCAAGGTGACAACGGCTGTTTCATGCCCAGTCACAAAGTAACTCTCCTCTCTGCAAGACTGTCCCTCATCATCAGTTTCTGTTAACATACCCTCCAGCCCCAGTTCAAAACCATCTCAGGTGTGTCAGTCTAGATAAATGTGTCACAGAATGAACGCAAGTCTCCAGTGTAGTATTATGGAGTGGGTCTTTGGAAGATGACTGGGAAGATGCCCAGAGGAGCAAATAGAATTCATCACTTATGAGCAACGAGCACTTACCACAGACACCACATCTCTCACTGTCTAGATCTTCAGCCTCTGGAACTGTGAATAGTACATTTCTGTTGCTCAGAATTAGTCAGCTAAGGTGTTTTGTTACAGTAACGCAGATGCATTAGGACAATGGATTTCTACTTTCCATAAGGTAAATCCCTTACTGTAGTGGAGTGAGTGCCCTGTGGGACCTGACACTACCCATTTCTCCAGGCTTTCCTTCCTGTTCTCTTTGTAGCCTCATTCATTCACTCTCCCAGTGTCCTTTACCAGGAGCACCTTTGCCTGGATCTTCTGGCTTTTCATGCTTCTGCTCAAGTTCATGTGTATATGATCAGCCAAGCTGCCTGGAAGAGGCTCAGACCAACTAGGCTGCCCAGAAGAGATGCTCTCCAACCTGTCAAGCTGCCTGCAGGTTGTACTGTGAGCTCCAGGTTACCTGCTTTTGGGAGCTGTCACCCATGGTGGGTAGGCTTTGATGATGTAGCTGTCTGTGAGTCATTTCTGCTCCTGTAAGTAATCCCTCACCCATACTCCCTAAGCAACCCCCAACAAAACTCACTGGTTCATCAAGTTGGGGTGCAATCCTTATTTGGTCTGTTGGTTCCCTATGTGGGGTGAGTAGACATTTATTTCTGTGTCCCCAGGGATAGTGTCAACCAACCCTTCACAAAATGCGTGTTCTGCACATTTGGTCTCTCTTGAGGCTCTTTGTGCACTGTGTGGCATGACTTGATTTCCCATTCATCATCTCCCTGTCTGTCTCCACCACTAGAATGAAAGCTCCCATCAAGGTGGATCCCAAGCCTGTTTTGTTCCACATGCCAAGGGCTGGCCCTCAGCTGAGCACACAATAAGCACTCCAAAAATGTTCTAGATGATCTGGTCCCTGCCCTTTACTGCACATCCTGTGACCCCAGACCCCACTCCAGTGCTGCCACCTCACAGAGTCTCTCCTCCCTGGGCCTCTCCTCCTTATGCCCATTCCACCTAAATCTGTGTCTCCCCTGAGAATCCAGTCTCAGTTTACCAATGCAGTCAGTTACCTGCCAGGTCTTGGGGTCTGTGATGGTTAATTTTTGGTGTCAAGTTGATTATATTAGGGATGCCTAGAGAATTGGTGAAGCCTGACTTCTGGGTGTGCCTGGGAGAGTAGTTCCAGACAAGCCTGGTGTGTAAGTCAGCCAACTGAGTGGGCATTATCATTGTGAGTGGGCACTATCCAGCTGTCTGAGGACTTGGTGGGGGGCATTAAAGTGGAAAGGGGAAAATTCTGTCTTGGCTCTTTCTGCTTGACTGGATGTGGTTCCTCCTCTGCTGCCTTGCTCCTTTGGCCACTTGGATTCTGCGTCTTGCACCAGTCACCCTTCAGGGACCCTCAAGCCTGAGACCTGGTCCTGGGACTGCATCCTAGGTCCTTGGTCTGGGACTTCATTTTCTCTTGGTTTTATTTCTCTGAGGAATTCAGGTTAATAGAGTTGCACTAAAGGCCTCATCTCGGGCTCGTGACTATTGTGTTAGAGCTAAAGCTATTGTAGACTCTTGGCCACACAGAGTCCACTGAGTCCCAGCATTGGGGCTGGAGAGCTTCCTGCCCCACTGACTGAGCTTCTGAGACTTTACCACTCTGCAGAGTCTCCTAGTACCACACAGGCCTCTAGTCCTTTGGTCTCCCAGTAGCTCTGTGGCCTGGTCAGCATGTGTGAGGAGCCAGACACTGGCACTAGGCAGGTTCTCTAGCAACCCATCTGGCCCCAAACCTGGGTTCTAGGATCCTGCTGGACACACACAAGGGTTGCTTCTGACTTGCTGGGCATCAGTCTTTCTTTGCTGCCCCTTTTCAGCCCCTGCTAATCCTTTGCACCCAGCCCATCTAGCACTAATTAATCCTCCTCTGTGTCTGAGAGGCCAGCTGTGGGGGCAGCAGAAGGCAATTCCTGGCTAGAGGTTGGCATCTGAGCAGGTAACTCAAAATGAGGTGGGGGCTCAATTGGGCTCCTGTGGGGATCCCCAGGCTCAGCTTCTAGCAAGGCACTTAGGTGATTGACTAGACCATACAGGAGACCTGTGGCTCCTCTTCCCATATTCCATCCTGTGACTCAGACTTTGAAGACTTTGAAATCTTCAGGGCAGCCTCAGAAGGTTTGGGGGAACCTAGAAACCTGTATTTTCTCCAGTTCCCTGGAAGATTCTTTTTAAAAAAATATTTTATTATTTTTATTTTGTGTATGTGTGTTTTGCTTGCATGTAGGTAAGTACACCCATGTTGCGCAATGCCTGTGGAGGACAGAAGAGGCTGTCGGATCCCCTGGAACTGGAGTTATAGACAGTTGTTAGCTGCCATATGGGTGCTGGGATTTGAACCCGGGTCTTCTGCAAGAACAGTCAGTATTCTTAACCGCTGTGCTATCTCTCCAGCCCCACCTGGAAGATCCTTAAAATGCTGGTGGACCAATGCCACAGTTCCCTGGGCAGCCACCCTTAGGTCCTCTTCCAGCCTCAGTCACCCTCTTTAAAGTGGGGTCAGTAGGGACATGGAAGCAAGATGAGACAGGGCATCAGAATTCCCATCCAGGGAAAACCAGGCTAGTAGGCAGCCTTCTCTAATCATTTCTGGAAGGTTCAGAAATGCAAGACAGGATTATCACTCACTAGGAAGGGCCAGCCTGCAGCAGAGGCCAAGAAGGGGAAGTGTCAAGACCCAAGAACAGATGTGGGACAGCTGGAATTGGGCAGATCTGAGAGTAAACTTGGCTTGTCCAGGGTCACTTTGGGCAGGCTGGTTGACCTGTCTATGCTGAGAATGGATGCTTCTCTTACTGGGGGTGGGGCAAGAAGGGCAGAAGGATCAGTGTGGTCAAAAGGGATTTGGGGGTGGGGTCGGTGGGCATGCTTAGCTCAGTTCTGGCTCTCAGGCCTGTGGTGACTGGCTGGGGTCTGTATAATCTCTCATCAATAGCTCTCAAATATATGGCCTTAGGAAGTCACTGTGTCTACACCCCAAGTCAGCAGGAAATGGGAAGAACGAGGCTCTCCTCGAGCTGGTTCCTTGGAGGCTGCACCTTGAATTCTGCCCCCAGTACATCCTGCCTTGGGGGAAAGTTGGGCTGCTGAGCTCTAGCAGAGTCAGAGGTCAGGGTTGTGAGTTGGTCCAGCAGTGTGGCCAGGGCCTCTGGGAAGCTAGCACTAGAATGGGGATCCCAGGCCCTGGGCCTGCTCTTTTCAGCCTGGAGTCCAGGCAGAGATGGGCAGAGATACATGGCCTGGGTGGGCCTGTGTCCAGAGTGGCCTTGGAGCCTGCCCACTAGTCAGCCTGGACAGGGCTGCTGAGTCAGGCCATCCTGCAAGGATTGGTCTCATGGAGCCTAGTTCTCCATTTGCTGAAGATCAATGAACCAGAAACTGACCAAAATGTCACTGTCACGAGGACAAAGAAGTCTAACTGGCAGTTTATCTTCAAAGTCAAAAAATGATAGGTACGGGTCAGTGTATCAAAACCATACAGACTTTCTCCTTATACACCATTGGTATTTCTTCTCTGCCATAAGATTCTGCAGTGTATGATATTCCATAGTCAGTGTTTGCACTCAGCACCTCATCTGGTAGTCATGACCAGTTTTTAGCAAGCCCTCAAAATGGGCCAATCCCTGGTCTGAGAATACTGCCTCTTTTTTTGGGGGGGGGTCTTTTTGAGACAGGGTCTCCCTGTAGCCCCAGCTGACCTGGAACTCACTATGTAGTCCAGGCTGGCTTCAAACTCACAGAGATCTGCCTGCCTCTGCCTCCTGAGTACTGGGATGAAAAGCTTGCGCCACTATGCCCGCTGTCCTGGAACTCTTAATCCTCCTGCCTCCACCTCCTGAGTGCTGCAGTATAAGTGATGTCACCATGCCTGGTTTTAATATCCTCATTAAATGGGCAAGCAGAGATGCAGGGAGTCTATCATCTGTTCACAACTTAACTCTAGAGCATGTACGTCTCCTGTTAGTTCAAAGAAATTTGCTTCTTCCTTTTTCAATGGGCCCATATAGTCCATGATTGGCTGAATAGCAATTGACTCAATACATATCTCTCCACTGAGGAGCGTTTACGCTCTTTCCAATAGCTGGTCTCCTCCCACTGAATACTGTTTGATGTTTTTCATCTTTTGCTCTAAAACTACTGTAAACAACTTTTTTATGTACATAAGATAAATACTTGGGGATAAGTTTGCAGAAATATTTCTTTTTTGTTTATGGGTGCTTTATTTGAAATCTCCCCCAAACCATTCACTCAACTTGGAAATGGATAAGCAAATTATGAAAAATCCATACCAGAATGCTACTCCATAGCATAAATGAGTGAACTTGTGCTAAAAGAGCCCACATGGAGGTGTCTCAACTGCATGTACCAAGTGAAAGAAGTCACACTCAAAGGGCAGGCAGGAACTGAACTTGGGCCCTCTGGAAGAGCAGCAAGCACTCTTAACCACTGAGCCATCTCTCCAATCCTATTACAGAAATATTTTTAAAGATGAAGAGCCAGAAGGAGACGTGTAACCCAGAAAGTGGTCACAAATCACCTCTGTGCCCTCTGGGGTACCTAAAGACTCTGTTCTTTACAGGTGTTAAGATGTTGAGCTGGGTCCAGAAGGTGCTGCCTCAGCCCCCAGGAACCCCTCAGAAGACCAAGGAAGAGGAAAAGGAGGATGGAGAAGAACTACACCCAGAATCAGAGCTGGAGCCAAAGGCAAAACCAGAGCCAGAGCCAGAGCCAGAGCCGGAACCTGAGCCTGACACAATCCCAGAGGAGGCCGTGCTAGAAGATGAGCCCCTGGTGAGAGATTGGGGTGAGGAGGCCAAGCTGGCCTTACTGCTCAGGGACTTGTCAGCTTGGCCCACCTGTTCCCCATGGACCTTTCTCAAGAGAGAAAGTGAGAGCCAAAGGGAAACGTGGTGGTCACTTGCCCAACACACATATGAATTAGGCCACTCAGGCCCAGAGAGTGGACAGGCTTGCTCAACACTGTTTCTCTAAAAGGCGAGACAGGAACTACTTCAGGCATTGTGGACCATGCCTTGTCTGTGAGTAGTTCTGCTGTTTATAGCATGAACACAGTTATACATAATGCTAACAAGTGAACATGGCTATGGTTCACTTTATTTATGGGGCTGAGGAGATGGCTCAGTGGGTGAAATCATTTGATCTCTACACAAGTACCATGGCACGTGTATGCCTACAGTCACATACAAATAGGCACACACAAAGCCCCAAAACTTTATGAAAACAAGCAACAGGCTGGATGTGGCCTGGGGCCATGTGTTTCAATCTCAGGAGTCTAGAGCAGAGCTACACTTGATACCAGTTCATGATGAGATTTGGAAATTGCTCCAGAATAGAAGTCTGTGTAACTAAGTACACTGCTTCGTTCAGTTGGTATTTGTTTTGTATGAAGTCTTTTTCATGGAGGAAATAAGATATAAACAATATTTAAAAGAGCATTTATATTTTAAGTAACTTTTAGGATTAATGTTCCATGGAGTACATATGCTTTGGAACATGACACAGAATTTTTAAATTATTTATTTATTTATTTATTTATTATTTTATTTAGTACATGTGCATGCACATACCATGGTACTTGTGTGGACGTCAGAGGACAACTTTCAGGAGGCAGTTTTCTCCTTCTAGCATGTGGGACCTGGGGTTGGAAGATGGGTCCTTAGATTTGACAGCAAGCACCTTTACCCACTGAGCCATCACATTGCCCCTTAATACACGTTTTGATACAAACTGTTCAATCACCATAGACCAGTAGCAGTTTACTGGCATTGGTCCATGTGCTACACATTGAGGAACATTTTTCTAGACTGTTTCTTCAAGCATACCAAAACTTGCCAGTTCTTCATCTCATCCCTTCAGGGGCCTGATGACAACTAATTTAGCAGCTCAATTAAACAAATTTCATTTAGCTTCTAATTGATGCTGGATCCTGTGCTCAGTGCAAAAGGCATAAAGATGAATCAATTAGGCATTGCCCCTGGGGGTCAGTACCAGTTGGTTCCTTCTGCCAGGACACAGAACAAGTGAACATGAGCCCTGGTATTGCCTCAGCAGGACCCTTCCAGAAGGGTCAAATAAATAAATGTGTCAGACTGAGGACCGTTGGCACTCACAAGAAATGGTCATGTAACTTTGGAAGTTGGAAGCAAGTGGAGTGTACTCCCTAGACACCGAGGCTGGCAGAGTTTTCTGTAAGGGAATTGCAGAAACAAGATGTTCCTGGCAGAGGGACGGTTGTAACTGGGGCAGTACAAAGCATGTTTAGGAAATAGGCATAGGGGGTGCACATGTGTACGCATGTATGTGCATTATGCATGTGGTATACTCATGATATTATACTGTGAACACACACAGGTGTTTTGAATTTGGGTATGTGTTGGTATTTGCAGTATATGTTTATTATGGGCACATGATTCCATGTGCATGTGTTACACGCTGTGTGCACATTTCTGAGTATATGAGTTTATGTGCTGTGTATGCACATACTTGTCTGTCCATGTATGAACATATTTGCACAACTCTGTGCATACATTTATGTGTGTGCATGTATAGTTATATATATATATATACATATATATATATATATATATTTTTTTTTTCTGAGGCAAGGTCTCCCTGTAGCCCCAGCTGGCCTGGAACTCGGTACATAGGCCAGGCTGGCCTCAATCCCATGGAGATCTGCCTGTCTCTGCCTCCTCAGTGCTGAAATTAAAGGTCTGTGCTACCATGCCTGGCATGTTTACATATATTTTCAGATGCATGTTTGTGTATACACCATGTTTGTGAATTTGTACAAATTCATGTTTATGTATATACATATGTATATTTTTGTCTATATACACATGCAAATATATCTGCATGTACACATCTGTGTGTTGTATATTGGCATGTCTATGCACATGTGTATGCATGCATGTATGTTTGTATGTATATGGTTGTATTGCTAACATGTGTATGTGCAAGTGCATTCAAGCATATGTGTGTGAATGGACTTGTTTTGTATGCATGCACATACATGTATGTGTTTGTGTGTCATTGTTACATGCATATATACATGTTCACGTCTTTGTATGCATATACTTATATGACTTAGGTAAAGGAAAAATGGGGTTCTTGGGGGACCCAGATCCAAAGTATGGGCACCCTTTTCCAGAAACTCAGGAAACTGCCCCTGGACTAGGTATACACCTGAGGGTGTTTGGATGGATGCCAGTGTGTGATTCTCTATACCTGCACACAGGTGTGTAAAGGAATAGTGGCGACTACAGGGGCAGGGGAGAGGAATCAGGAGGAAGAGGCCTGGCTGGGGATCTCCCCAGTCCTGCTTCCCAGAGCCTGTACCAAAGTTCCTCCCCCTTCACAGGCCATGGACTGGATATGAGGCTTGGGAAACTGGGAGACCATCTTGGGATGTGAGGCCCCAGCCTGGGTGCCAGGCCCATATGGAGGGAGAAATGGAGGCCCAGGGTAGAGGATGAGGCCAGTAGGAGATGACTCTCAGAAGAGAATTGTTCAGCTTCCGGGGCTATGGGTCCCTTGGATGGATCAGGGGCTGTCTGTTTGAACCAGAGGCTTACAGGTTCTGTTTGAACTCTCTAGCCACCCAAGGAGCCAATGAAAGGAGAGGAAGTAGCTGAGGCTGACCCAAACCTTCAAGGTGAGTGCTAGGACCCAGGCTGACTGGGCAGGGAGTTGAGTTCTCCTCTCTGAGCCTTGCAGCAGCTCATTTCTAGATGAGGTAACTGAAGTTTGGGGAAGCTTGGGGTGGGCTCCTAGGGGCTAAGCTGAACTGAGCTCATCTTCCAACCCCCTGGCATCCTGCTTCTACCCTGCGACTGACTTGACCTTCCCAGCAAGGGAGAAATGGGCCGCCCTGGGGCCCACATCTGAAATACAGGGGATTCTTTTTCTAGAGGTCCAGGAGCCTGCCCCTCCTCACTCTACCACCCTCCAGGACCAGGTTGCCATAGCTGCCAAGATGAACAGGTACCATATCGCCTTCTTCTCTCTCTGGACCCCAACTCCCTTGCCCTAGCCAGGGAGCCACTGGGACAGAGGGACAGTCTGTGACAAATCTGCAGTCACTTGGAGCACAGGCCCAGAGCATCCTGGGAATGGCTGTGGGAGTTTCAACGGAGGTCAGGGGCCAGAGAGGAGTTGTCTGGGCATCATGGGCATCGTGGCCAGGAGATAAAGGTTGGGGGTGCAATACTGAGCACCTTAGGGGCAGGGAGCCAAAACTGTATCAGTATTGAGGTGACTTCAGACCCAAAGGTGGAGCTGCTCGTTTCTCCAGTGAAGCCAGGAGTCCAGACTCATGCATGAACTCTCAGATGTTTGTCCAGTCAAGCACAGCCCAGGGTGGTGCCAAAGGGTGGGGACCCAGGACCCTCATATCAGTTAATCAGTCTCAGTCCAGAGTCACCCTCAGGAGGCTTCTGGAGTGGGAATGTGGGATGGGGAGGGCAGACTGATGGGTGTGGGTACAGAGAGAGGCTGACTGTGCTGTATGGAGCATCTAAAGGGCAGGTTCCAAATGCAATGGGTACTCATGGCCTCCTGAGAGACTGGATGGTACCCCGTATTTTCCAGAGAGGGACCCAAGGCCCAGGAGAGAGGTGGTGTTTCTAGAGCCTCATCATGGGCAGATAATGGCTTGATTCAGGCCAAGTCCTTTGGGATGCTTATGGACTGCCACTCGGATGGGGTGGCAGTGGACTGATGTCCCTGTCCCTTGGCAGTCCCAGCACCTGGGTGCTGACCTGGTTCTGGAAGGGCATGGAGAAGGTGGTGCCACAGCCTACCTGCAGCAAAGGGGACCAGAATCCAGCTTCTGGAATGGAAGACCCAGCTCAGGTACTGGGGCAAGGGGAAAGGGTCAGTGGGGGATGGAAGGGGGAGGTCGCTCCTTGGACGCCCTGTCATGTCTGTCTATCTGTCTTGACAGGTCGGGGGACAGATCTCAGGGCCCTGTGGCACTTGGGACACAGGTAAGACTGAAAGGCAGGATGGTGTTCCAGGGATAGGAGCCCTGAAATGGGCCCTGAAATGGAGAGAGCTCACACTATTACATGGCCACATGGCCACATGGCTAGAGCAGCCCATACACTAGCCCTGGGCAGCCAAGTGTGAGTGCTTTCCAGGCTGACAATGGCCAAGGGCTCCAGGTGGGTGGGGTGTCTTCTACTTGATCCCCCACTCCCTTCCCTTCCCTCCCTTCCCTTCCCCTCCCCCTTCCCTTCCCCTTCCTTCCTTCCTCCTTCCTTCTTCCCTTCCTTTCTCCAGTGATTTTATGGTTTTATTTGCAATTTGTTAATTTATTTTAAAACAGAATTATTTTTTTAACTGATACATAAAACACAGCATTGTGCATCTTAACAGGGACTAGTGACCCTGTTAAATGCACATACTTGTCATCAGGTTAGACTTACCTGTCTCCTCAGAGTTACCATTTCTTCCTGGTGAGGATATCTGGTCCTTTCTTTAGCTTTTTTATTTTTTATTTTTTGTCTTTTTGAGACAGAGTCTCCCTGTACCCCAGCTGCCCTGGAACTCGCTATGTAGACCAGGCTGGTCACAGAGATCCACCTGCCTCTGCCTCCTGAGTGCCTGGATTAAAGGCGTATGCCACCCTGCCCGGCCTTTCTTTAGCTTTTGAGATGTGTGGTACTCAGTTGCTGTCTGTACCCACCATACTGTACAGGTAGGACTTAAGAGCTCTCTAATTGCAGCTTGTACCCACTGAGTATCCACTCCCCATCCCTGCTTCTCTCCTTTACAGATGGCTCTAATGAGGTTCCTAGGGTCCAAGACACTAGGTAAGTTCCTATTAGTGTCACTGTTGCCTGTAGTGTGTGTGTGGGGGGGGCAGTATGCACAGAGCTGAGCCCTGGGTTTAGGGGCAGGGTTTACTTCCACCTGTGTGACTTGAAGCAGCATGCCTGTTTCCTCTTTTCCACCTCACTTTTCTCATCTGTATAATGGGGACAGTGTTCCTGTGCTTTGTGTTGCTTGCTAGAGATCCTGGGTGGGGCCACCTCTAACAGAAAGAAGCAAGGATAAGGTCCCCACAGATAGGCTCCATGGCTATGTAGCATCTGGAAGCAGGGCTTAGACCACCTGAGGGACACAGAGGTAGCCCAGTTGTTTCAGCCTCTCAGTATATAATATCTCAGGAACAACTAACTTTTCAGTGGGAATGTCAGGTCAGATGGGAATGGCATACAGAGGAGCCTAAACCCTGCTCGGGGAAGGGCCCTGCCCAGTTACAGCCACCTGTACCTGGTGGAACTGCAGCCCAGTGTGGACAGAGCCTCCCATGATTTAAGAAAAGTGGGAAATCAGTCTGGATAGGATGCCACACACCTAGAACCCTACAACTGGGGAGACTGAGGCCAGGGGCTGATGGATGGAACCCAGTCAGGGCTACTTAGCTAGACCCTGCCTCAAAAACAAACACCAAGTCAAACCCCAAAGCTGGAGACCTAGGATTTTATCTAAAGTCCTTAATTAGTAGCTATTGCTAATTATTAATAATTGAGAAGTTTTCAGATTGCTGTGCTCCCATCAGCCTGGAGAACCACTCTGTGATTTCTTCTGTCCCAGCTACTGTTCATTCTTTCACTCATTCATTCCTTAGATTGTACGTTTCTTCTCCCGGGTATGGAAGGCTGGCCAGGCCTAGACCCCCAGTGGACAGTCAGGGTACCTCAGATGACTCTGATTTGTTGACCACTGGCTTTTTGCAGGCCCAGCCTGTGGCTGCTCAGGTGGCTGGAGGAGAATCTGGAGAAGGTGCTACCTCAGCCCCCCAAACCCTCTGAGGTGAGTGGAGAGGAGGGGCTAGGCAGCTCACTACCTGGGAGAGTGGAGGCTCAAGACACTGCCCCTCAACAGGCTGTGGTCAACTGGCCACACCCACTGAGATATGGATCTTCTCCTTGGAGTCTCTCTTTGGGAGTGTCCTTCACTTAGGAGCAACTGACCCGGGCTGGGGACAAGATAAGCCACTGTGTTCATTATTTTTCTTGTCAATGAGACAAAATTCCTGACAAATGCTGCTTAAGAAAGTTTATTTTAACTCATGGTTTGAAGTGGGGGTAATCCATCATGCAGGGGCGGCATGGCAGCAGGTCACTGTGTCTATAGTCAGGAAGCAGAGAGAAATTAAGCTGGTCCTCTCTCTTGCTCACCTTTATGCACGGTCTGGGATCCCAGCCCATGGGATGGTACCATACACATTCAGGGTGGGTCTTCTCTCCTCAGTTAAACCTCTCTGTAAACTCTTTCAAGAGACCCAGAAGTGTGACTCCTTGATGATTCTGAATCTAAGCAGGTTGACAATGAAGATTAAGAATCAAATCCTACTACCACCATCATCACATGCACATAAGCACCCCCCTCCAACACACATACATACACATGCAGAGAAGCCTGGAGCCAGGGCACAGGTGACCAGGGTAGGGTATATTAAAGTCTGTCTTTGATGCTGACCTATCTCTCTATTTGTCATCCAGGCCTGGAGAACTGAGCCTGTTAATGCTGTCTTGGACCCAGGTACAGAGAGGGAACTGGGAGAGCCTTTCTAGGTGGCCATAGGCTGGGCTGGGGGGAAACTTGGACTTTGGGGGCTTCAGAGGAGTCTTATCTCTCAGTCAGACAACGGAGAAGTTCAGGTCTTGCTAAAGCACTAGAACCCCCACCCTCGTCCAAGCTGAGACTCCAGAGGCTTGGGTTGGCTAGATCTCACAGTCTTAGACATGTCCCTTTCCCTTCCCGGACTGTTTGATGATAGGGTTGTTTAGAGTGGCCCTAAAGGTGCTCCCTATCCAGTCATGTCAGTGTTCCGAATCTGGCCTCCTATATCCAAGAGAGTTGGATGACGCCCTGCTGTGGGGTCTTTAGTGTTCATTTTCCCACCACTCAGAGCCTCCAGGACCTCCTGTGGAGACAGAGCCCACAGAGAATTCCACCCTGTCCAGTCCTGGCACCTTGGAGCCAGAGGAAGAACCAGTTGCCAAGCCCCAGCCTGGCTTCCAAGCCTCTTCCTTGCCACCACCAGGAGACCCTGGCAGGTAAGCCTCCTAAATGCCATACCTCCTACGAGTAGGCATAGTGCTTTGCTCTAGCCCAGTACCCAGCCTTTACAAAACTAGTTTGTTAAATTAGAAGGTTAACACATATTCCCAGAAGAAAACTCAAACTCTCCAGTCATACCCCATTAGCAGCATCTTACTCTTCTGGTTTTCCCCATCAGCCAGGCCGGAGAGTGTGCTTTTTCTTTAAACACACACCCAGTATGACCAGGTGTGATGGTGCATGCCTTTAATCCCAGCATTTGGGAGGCATAGGCGGGCAGATCTCTGTGAGACTGAAGCCAACCTGGTCTATATAATGAGACCCTATTTCAAAAAACAAACAAATAAACAAACTGACAAACCAAAAAACCCAACCAAAAAAAAAAACCAACCAAAAACCAAACCAAACCAAAACAACAACAACAAAAAAACACACACCCAGTGCCCACCTGTAATCTTAGAATTCTAGAGGCTGGGGCAGGAGGATCAGAAATTTAGGGCTAGCCTGGCCTATATAGCCAGATCTTGTCCCAAAACAGAAACAAGAAGTGAAAATAAATAAATAAACACACACACACACACACACACACACACACACACACACACACACACACGGCCAAGAATGTAGCTCAGAGGTAGAACACTTGCCTAAAAAAGAAAACTACAAGTATTCTTTTGCATTTTGCTTTTGTTGTTTAAAAAAGTCCCTCAGAGGCTGGAGAGATGGCTCAGTGGCTGAGAGTGCTTGCTATGCAAGCTTGCTCCACAAACATGAGGACCAGAGTTCAGACCCCAGCATCCATGAAAAAACTGGGCATGGTCCTGTGCAGGCCTCTAACCCCAGCATGTAACCCCAGCATTGAGGGAGTCAAAGACAGAGACATGAGGATTGCTGGGGCTTGCTGGCTGCCACTTCAGTTGAAAAACTTGAGTTCCAGGTTTAGGGAGAGACTCTGCCTCCAAGGAACAAGGCAGACAGTGATGGGGAAGACACCTGCCACCTCCTCTGACTTCTGCATGTTGGCACAGACACACCAGTGTGTGCATAAACCAAGCACACACACAATTTTTTTAAAAAATTTCCTCAGAGATGGTTTTGTTTTTTATTTTATTTATTATTTTTATTTTATATGTATGAGTGTATTGCTTGCATGTATGTAAGTGCACCTGTGTCATGCAATGCCCACAGAGGTGAGTAGAAGGCATTGGATTTCCCTGGAAGTGGAATTATGTTACGGATGATTGTTAGCTTCCATGTGGGTATTGGGGATCTAACCCTGGTCCTCTGCAAAAGCAATCAGTGCTCCTAACCGCTGAGGCATCTTTCCAACCCCCAGAGATGGTCTTATACATGCAATTCCACTTCATTTCTTTAAAAAAGATTTTACTTTTATTTTATGTGTATAAGTATTTCACCTGCATGTGTGTATGTGCATCACGTGCATGGTTGGTGCCTGCAGAGGACAAAAAAGGGCATCAGATTCCCTGGAACTATAAGGGCCACCATATAGGTGTTGGGAACTGAACCTGGATCCTCTGCAAGAGCAGCCAGTGCTTTTAACCACTTAGCCATCTCTTCAAGCCCCTTTGCTTCATTCTTTCAATCACTGCATAGAGCTGTATAGTACTCCTTTCCATGGATATATCGACTTTTATTCAACCACGGGGAGGGGCATTTAGATTTGTTTTCACACTTTTCCTGCAGTCAAAAATCTTCCAAGTAAGTGTGGGGGATAAACTGATACAAGTACAGTTGCCCAGCTAAAGGCCACATGTGTTTCAGGCAGTACCAGGGCAGGTACTGCCCAATGCTTTCTCTCCTAGGTATGTGAGAAGCTGGAAATGCACATCTGGGGTGAGGTGCAGGTGGCAGCTGAGCTGAACTACTTCAGTGCTCAGTCAGGCGAGGGGAGAGTCTCAGATGTTGGGAAGGAGGGGAAGAGAGGGAGGGGCCTTTGGGGCTAGAGACCTGGGGTTGGCTTCCAGCATGCTTTGCATCCCAGCAGGCTTGCTCTCTGACTGTTCCCCACCCCGAGTCTTCCCAGCTGGACTCACCTCATGTCTCCACTACAGGCTGATAGCGTGGCTCCTGCGCAGGCTGGAGATGGCCCTGCCACAGCCGGTGCTCCATGAAAAAGTCAGGGAGCAGGTGCGTGGGACCTGGGCCTTGGGGGCCCTGGGTGGTGGGAAGGGCCTCGGGAGCTCAGATAAAGGTGGAGTGGTTGGTCTGGGTCCCTGGTAGAGACATAGCAAGAAGGGAGCCATCAATGGAAACAGCCTTGAAGCCTGCCTATATGCATACACACTAGCTCAGAGGATGGCCTACCTGCCAGGAGCTCATGTACTGGAACTGGAGGTGATGGAGGTGATGATACTGGTAATGGGGCTCGGGAGTGGAGCCTCCTGGGAGCATCCAGGAAGGCTTCCTAGTGGAAGAGACCACCAAGCATGTACAAAGATAGATGGAGAGAGAGAAAGAGAGAGGCAGAGAGAGACAGAGAGACAGACAGACAGAGAGAGGGAGAAGGAATGTGGAATGTTCTAGGGGAAAGCAAAGTCTACAGAAAGTCCTCCGCCCTTATGGCTGCTTGGAGTCCCAGCATGGTTAGTAGGGGAGCAGAGCCTTGGTCACCCCCTTCTTTTCTTCCTCAAGATCCTGAAGTTTGACTCCCCTTTCTTGGGGACAATTGCACATCTCCATAGAAAAAGCACTTAGAACTAGGAGATGGGAGGTATAATCACAGTCTTGGCTGTGTGACCTTGGTCCTGGTTCTATGCAAACCTCAGTTGTCCTCTGAACAATGGATTAACAACTCCTTGTTACCACCCAGCATTGTGGAAAAAGCAGGAAAGAATGCTGTAAAAAAGGTGTCTAAGCCTTGGAGAGAGGACAGCCTGGATTTGTCCAGGGCCTCTAGGTGCCTCAAGGTCCTGGCCCAGTCCATCTGGGCAGATACCCTTGCTATGGCTGTTTAAGGGTACCCCCCACCTTGCCTCACAAAGCCAAAGCCCCCCTTCCCTCACTGGCTCTGGGTACAGAAGGGCCCTCTTCTCTATTCCATGGGAGGTAAGCCATGGTCCCACAGGTGCAGTCTGAAGTCAGATGTCCTGAGTCCACACCCAGTCCCATCCACCTACCCCCTTCTGGTTGGCTCCTGTGCTCACAGAAGGTTCTGGAAGCCAGGCTTGTGTTCTAATATCTGCCCCCATCGTCCTGTCTCCCACAGGTGTAGAGGGTGCTGGCTTCAGAGATTTCCAAGGCTTAAAAAGGGGTGGGTGGTGAAAGCCATCAGCTGATGGAGGTGCCCCAGGGACCCTGGAGACTAGGGCAGCAGGGGAAGTAAGTAGGTACCGTAAAGAGAGGCCTTTTAGGTGCTGGGAGGGAGAGGATGACCATCTCATAGAGGGAGCTGGAGAGGTCATTCCAGGAGAGGGCATTCCATTCCAGACTGGTGCCCAGCCTGAGCAAAACTGCTGAGACAGGACCAGGCCCTTGTCCCGGAGGGACAGGGATGGGAGCAGCAGGTGGCCTTGTGGGCAGGCAGGGGCAGCAAGTGGAGGTGATGGGTCTTTGCAGGCTCTAGTGGGAAGAGGACAGGCATATGCTGGTGGCAGGAAAGAAACAGGTGAGGCAGCCATGGCAAGTCTACCCTTTTCTTCTCATGCAGGGGCCTGGCAGCTCTGAGACGTGTGATGTGCAGACCAGTAAGTACCACACTTGTGGGTCCTTGTGTGTGTCCTTAGGTCTGAGTTTGAGGCACAATTGGGATCTCCTAACCTGGAGTTGAGAGAAACCCACCCCTGCTCAGCCTTTCCTGGTAGCTGAACCAGCCAGTGGCTGGAGCCCCTCCTCCCAGGTTTCCATCCTCTGTCAGGAAAAGAGTTTTGAAGCCAAGTTCACACCCCTTCCTGTTGGCTATAATCCAGACCTGGGGACTGGGCCCTGGCAGCTGGGCATGTAGATTTGGCTAAGCAGAGTCTTGGCTTCTAGCAACTGTCCTGTCTGTTCTGTCTCCTGCCAGCCTTTTCTCTTGTGCCGTCTCCTCTGCTCATTCTCCCTTTTGAAAAGTCATCTATTGCTGGGTAGAAGGCCTACCCTAAATCCAGGAGACTCTTGCTTTGAGATCTTTAGGCCAATCATGTCCCCAAAGACCCTATTTGCAAATAAGGTCACATTCACAGAGAACAGCGTGGGACTTGAACATATAACATGGAGTGACTGAGGGTCTGGAAGATGCATGTTGCTCTCCTTCCCCTACTCTGTTCCCTGGCCTCCCCATCCACCAATCTTTCCATCCATCCATCCATCCATCCATCCATCCACCCACCCATCCACCCATCTTTCCATCCATCCATCCGTCCGTCCATCCACCCATCTTTCCATCCATCCATCCATCCATCCATCCATCCACCCATCTTTCCATCCATCCATCCATCCATCCATCCACCCACCCATCCATCCACCCATCTTTCCATCCATCCATCCATCCATCCATCCATCTCTTTCCATCCATCCATCCATCCATCCATCCATCCACCCATCTTTCCATCCATCCATCCATCCATCCATCCACCCACCCATCCATCCACCCATCTTTCCATCCATCCATCCATCCATCCATCCATCTTTCCATCCATCCATCCATCCATCCATCTTTCCCTCCATCCATCCTTTGCCTGTCCACCCAGATGCCCATTGTTCTGTTTCCTCCTTTGTTTCAGGGGTGGCAGCAGCTGGAGGCCTCTGAAACAAGGGAGAGAAGGGGATTTGGGGAGCACGGATAGACAAACACATGGATGGATGAAGGACAGAAGGATGCCCTGAAAAGAAGACCTTTGGGTGGGGGATAGCTGCCAATCCCCACGCTCCTTGGACTGAACTCCTGCCCCTCTGCATTCCCAGGCAGGAGAGAGGGAAGTCAGTCACCAAGCCCCAGAGCTTCTTTTCAAGGCGCCTAGCCAGGGGATAGCACCCAGACCACAGCAAAGGCAAGGTCGGCCATGGGCAACCTGGACATAGTCTAGGCAGCAGGAGGACTTCCTGTGGGGAGGCTGTGAAGAGCCCCCACCAAGGCCTTGATGTTGAATGTCTGAAGGTCCTCATGCAGCGCTCATGGGGTACCTGGCACAATCATGCTGCTGCAGGACCTAGTTTTCCCCAAAATGATTCTCCCAAGGCCTGGTTGTGTTATCTCCCTGCATGAGCCAGGGACATCAGTGACAGCGATGTTATAATTGACATTAAAAAGCATGACTTTGCACCTCAAACCTGTGGCTGCATGATATGCTTAAGATAGATCTGAAAGAAATTTTTAGGTTTTATTTATTTATTTTTATTTTATATATAAAAATGTTTTGCCTGCATGTAGGTAAGTACACCCATGTGTGTAATATCCATGGAGGCTAGAAGAGGGCATCAGATCCCGTGGAAATGGAGTTACAGAGGGTGTTGGCCATCATGCATATGCTGGGAATCAAACCTGGGTTCTCTACAAGAGGACAGTTCTCTTAACTGCTGAGGCATCTCTCCAGCCCTGGTTTTAGTTATTTATTTAGACAAGTTCTTGCTCTACAGCCCAGGCTGGCCTCCAACTTTCTATCCTCCTGCCTCAGCCTTCTGTCTGCTGGAATTGCAGGTGTACGCCATTACCTGCAGTGCTTAGGTTCTAAAGGGAGGTGGGCTGAACAGGTGTGGCCTGTGGTTGTGGGCCTGTAGGTCAGAGTAATTGTCCGGGTATCCTGAGGTCCCGGCTGCCTCCTAGAGGTCTTTCTTTAGGTCGGGGACTGATTTTAAAACAGAATTAGTTGACAACATTTAAGAATCAGATGGCTTTACACAGAAAGGCCTGAGTTCCCTCAAATACAGGGCCAGTCTGATTGTGATGGATATTTGTGAGGACAGTGGAAAAGCAGCTGCTATCTGCAGGCAATTGGCACCTGTCCCTTTGTTCATATCTGCTATTTGAGTTTGAGTTTGAGACCCTTGAGGTCTCAGGCTGGCAGTGTGGAAGGGAGATTCCTGCAGAAAGAATAAAGTGGGAAATTCCTGGAGGTGAGGACATGGGGCTGCAGAACCCTGGGTACTTGAGCTAACTGGATCCCAAGCCCTTGGTGATGAAGACAGAACTGGGCATGTTGGCACCTGACCTGCAGGGACTAGGATCTAGGAATGGGGAGCCACTGTAGGTGGTTGAGCTGGAGACCGGCTTCACAAAGATTACCCCAAGGCTGAACAAGCTCTGGAGACAGGGAAAGTAAACAAAGCAGGGCCCCATCCAAAATGACTGGGGTCAGTTATGAAGTATGCCCCACCTCTAGACCTCATGATTGGGGTGTGGGCAGCCTGGGATCTGCCTTTCCAAGAGGCACCTGCCTACCTCAAATGATTCTGGGGATGGAAGTGTTTGAGACCACCCTTTCAGAAATGTGTAGTGAGGGAGGATTCATGCTTCAGGGCAGAGCAGGTGGGAGGAGAGGTCATCTGAACTAAGAGGAAGAGGTGTCATGAGCCAGGCCTGCCGGGGAGGATACCTTGGATCCAGGGCCGTGGCTTTCCTGTGACCTGAGGTCTGGCGTGGCTGAGAGCACATGTGCCCCTGATGGTTGGTTCTGGAAGTAGGAACACCTGTGTCACTGGCCGCTGGCTGCCACTGACTGGGGTCAGAACCTCATTCAGTGGCCCTGCAGACAGAGAGGTTGTTGGTCACAAGGCAGCATGTCCATGAAGGACCCCAGGCCTTCCAGGCCTTCCAGCCCTCCCCTAGCTATATGCCAGGGACACCCCATCCCTGACCTTCCTTGCTGGAGGCCTAACCCAGCGCTGTGGCATCTTTGGCCAGTCTTGCAGACCTCCTACAGAGATGAAGAGAAGACATACTTATGAATTGCTCACAACCCCTGCCCCTGCCCAGAGCTCCTGAAAAGAAACTATTCACGAGCAAGGAAGCAAGGACTGCAGCACTGTTGGGGACAGCACCCAGTGGGGCACCCAGCACCAAGGGAAGTGCTCACAGGGTACATTTATCACTGGAGTCAGGACACCTGGCTTTGCTGCCAACTCCTTGTGTGGCCTTGGACATGTAGCTCAGCCTCTCTGAGCTGGCTCTTTGTTCTGTAAAATATTGTTCTCATCCTTTGGGGTTCTGTGGAAGTGTATATGGTCTCAGGCTGGAGATAGTCCGTCTCCTGAACGTCCCCTGTTAGATCCAGGCAGGACTTTGTGGCTGACAATAGAATGACAGATACACTTTTGCACTTGGAGTCATAGCTGGGGGACGATGCTGGGTAGTCAAACCCCAGGGATGTTCACAGGGCTAGAGAAACCAGGACCAACTACAAAAATGCACAGTTCAGCATGGGGGTGGGGAGGAGCTTCCCAGTACAGAGGGAAAGCTTGGGGCCTGGTCCTCCAGAAGCATCCATAAAAGTGATAATCTATGCAGTTTGTCCATCTGTAGATTAGGGAATAAAATATAAAATCTGAGAATTGAAATGGGGAGAATGGCTCCTCCCATCTCAGAAGGCTGCATCTGTGGCCCAGCTGCATCCCTGCATCTGTGGTATAGCTCGTGGGAATGAGGTACAGGAACAGAACTGTGTTACTGGTATTGCAGGGTCCCAGGACAAGATCTGAGGCCAACACCCATTTAAGTCACAGCTGGGGACGAAGAGATGGCTAAGAGTATTTGCTGCTTGTGCTGGATAGCTTTAATGTCAACTTGACATACCTGGGTTGAGGGAGCCTCAACTGGGGAATTGCTTCCATTGGACTGGCCTGTGGCCATGTCTGTGGGGCATTTTCTTGACTGTTGAGTGATGTGAGAGGGCCCAGCCCACTGTGGGTGGTGCCACCCCTGGGTAGGTGGGCCTTTGTTGGATAAGAGAGCAAGCTGAGCAGGGGCCAGGGAAGCAAGTCAGTAAGCAGCGTTCCTCCATGGCCTGTGCTCTAGCTCCTGCTTCCAGGTTTTTGCCCTGAGTTATTATCTTGGGCTCCCTAATGAACTGTAACCCAGGAGATATAAGCTGAATAAACCTTTTCCTCCCCAAATTGGTAGTGGTCAGAGTGTTTTGTCACAGCAATGAAGACACAAACTAAGACACTGCTCTTACAGAAGACTGGAGTTAAGTTCCCAGCACCCACATCTGGTGACTCACAACTGCCTGTAACTCCAGTTCCAAGGGACCTGTTGCCCTCTTCTGGCCTCCATGGGCACTTGCATGCACATACATACATGCACACACACACAAGTAAAAAAATCTTTTGCTGGGCGTGGTGGCTCATGCCTTTAATCCCAGCACTCAGGAGGCAGAGGCAGGTGGATCTCTGTGAGTTCAAGGCCAGTCTGGTCTACATAGTAAGTTCCAGGACAGCTGGGGCTACAGGGAGACCCTGTCTCAAAAAAAAGACCAAAAAAATATTTTAAATTATCTGCAATTATCAGCACATGTCTGTAATTCCAGCACTCCAGAGGTGGGGAATCGGAAGTATGAGGGCAGCCTGGGCTTCACAGCAAGACCCTGTGTCTCAAAACCAAATAGGTTAACAGCTGCCATTACTAATTCTTGTTCAACATAAAGACCACCAAGACCCTGGGAACTTTTGGGGAACACCTGGTATGTAGGAAGTGTCCCTTTCCTTCCCTGATACTTGCTCAGAGTAGGCTTGGGTTCTCTGTGAGATGCCCTGACCCCACTTCTTGGTTTTTTGAGGCAGGGTCTCCCTTTGTAGCCCAGACTAGGCTGGAGCTCACTACACCTCAAGCCTCCTGATTGCTATCCTTCTGCCTCTGCCTCTGAGTGCTGGGATTACAGGAGCGCACCATCACACTCAGTGGCCCAAACCATCTTTGGTGAAGAGTATATATGCCAGGGCCCTTTTCAGTCAGGGATCAGGAGACATGGAGAAATGCTGGACATTACAGACATCTTTAATTAGCTCCCACGTCCCCATGAGAAAGTCTAACTCCATTTGAGAGTGGAGAGTCTGGGTCCACTAGAGAAATAGGCTTCCAGAAGCAAGTGCTAAGTTCACAGGTATGCTGTCACCAAGGGACAGCACCTAGGAAGTAGGCAGGGAGCAGGCTTTCTCTTACCATGGGGACAGTCCAGATCACAGTGCTCGTGAGGTGGTGAGGGATCTACTGCCTGAGTCCTTTGGCATCAGCCTGGATGCTGTAGTTAGAATATTCTTTCTGCTCTTGGTTGAAGTGTTAAGAAGAAAGCCCTGATTTTAAAAAAATCAAGCTCCAGCAGCTGTAGTCAGAGCTCCGCCTCAATGGGAAAAGGCAGGGAGTCTTGGAAGGAAGCTGGCTGAGCGGCTGTGGTTTCAGGCTGTCTTCTGGACACTGATCTGGTTGCTTATGGTCCTGCTGACTGAGATACTGCTGGGGAAGGACCTTCAAGGTACACACCCAAGACTCTCTTCATCTCACAAATGGCTCCTCTCTGTCCCCCGCAGTCAACATTCTTCCCATGGAGCAAGTGGAGCCTGACCTGGTCCTTGAGGAGGTGGACCCCAACTGGGAGGATGCCCAGCAAGACGGCAGCACCAACCCACAGAGGACAGAGGCTGCTCCATTGGAGGAAGAAGAAGAGAGTGAAACCATAGTGGGGATGCCCAGGTGGGAAGCCAGAGAAGTCCCAGAAAGTGAGATGTTGCTTGAGAAAGTCCCAGGCATGTAGTACAGAATCCTAAAGGCATACAAGGGCCCAGTGCAGGAATAAACCTGCCTTTTCACCCCCCAGAGCCTTCCCTCTCCACACAGATACCTGGGCTCTTATGCCCTATTCCAGAGAGTCTGGAATAAACTGCATAAACGTGTAAATCCTCTCTCTTCTTTTTCCATAGAAGATGGCATATCACATGCATCTTTTTGCCCCTTGTTGAGTTTGGTCAGTAATATACCTTGAAGTCTTATTCAGTAGCTAGAGATCATCCTCATTGTTTTCACAGTTGTATAGTATTCCATTGTATGGATATACCATCATTTATTTAACATGTCAACCACTGATGACATTTAGGTTGTATGTTAGTCAGATTTTTGATATCCAGGATCACTACCTTGAAAAGAGAGAAAGTTGATTTGAGCTCATGGTTTCAGAGGTTTCAATATGTTGCTTTTGAGCCTGTGGTGAGGGACAGGTGTGGAAGAACAAAAGAATTCACTCCATAGCAGGGAAGCTTACACTAAAGAAAGGGACTGGCTCTCCCTGTCTCCTGCAAGGGTTTGTCCCCAGGGACCTCCCACTAGGCTCTGTTCCTAAAGACTCCACCACCTTCCAATTGCAACATTCTGGAGACCTCATCTGTAATACACAGGCCTTTGAGGGATGTTCTGGATGCGGATTAGTTCCAAAATGTTATGATAAACAAGTCAAGCTCTTGGCCTGCATTGCTAAGAAAAACAAAAGCAGAAACTGAGGCCCACTGAGGCTCCAAGCTGGCCCAGGACAAGGACAGCATGGAGAGCGTGTGGCTAGAGAAAGCCAGGGTGGGGTTCTTAGGTCGAACTTTGCTGGGGAGCCTCAGGATGTATGTCAGAGATGGGATGAGAGGAGGATGTGGGCAGCAGTGGTGGCTCATCTCCTGCCTCTGGCCAACTCAGGGCGCTGCCCCAGACTGAAGAGGAAAGAGAAGGTGAGGAAGATGAGGAAGAGGAGCAGGAGGAGCCTGTGGGAGTCACTTGTCCTGGGCACCATGGTTCCAGAGAGGGATGGCAGGACCCCTGGGCTGGGCTGATCTCTGCTTTGCTTCTGTGCTGGCCACTGCTTGGTACTGACCAGAGGACTGAGAAAGCTGGGGTCCTCTCCCATGCTCAGAATGAACTGGGGACCAAATTAGCCACTGCTCAACAACCCCCTTCCAGTTCACACAGATGCACCTCTGTGAGAGTTAGGATTTACGCCTATTGTTTGTACTATCATACTCCAGAGTTGAGAACAATGCCTGGTACACAGTAGGCACTAAATAAATGTTCCCTGAATGCATGTATAGATGCATACATTAGGCTTACAATGCTGTCATCTTTTTATTTTTATTTTTCATGTATGAATGTTTTGCCTGAATATATGTAAGTGCACCATGTGCATTCAGTGCCCATGAAGGCCAGAAGAGGGTGTTGGATCCCCTGGAACTAGAGTTACAGATGGTTGTTAGTCACCCTGTAGATGCTGAGAACTGAACCCAGGTCCTCTACAAGAGCAGTCAGTGCCCTTAATTGCTGAACCATCTCTCCAGACCTGAGTGCTCCTCTCTTAATAAACAAATCTGTGTCTCCTACACATGCAAGACATGTGGGCATACACACACACATGTACACATGCATACATGTGCACACATACAGGCACACACATAGGCACACACACATACATATACATATGCATACATAGGCACACACAAGCACACACAGGCCACACATATGTGTACACACACAGAGGCACACACACAGAGGCACATATAGGCATACACATGTACACACTCACACATACCAATGATTTCGCAGTGGCCTTTGTGTCTGTCGCTGCCCTGGATTCTGCTCAGTTGTCCAGAAACGCTTGATTCTGGTGTCGACAGAATCTGGTGATTCTGGTGTTGGCAGCATACAGCTCAGTTCAAATGAATGTTGAAGGATGGAAGGCGGACCCCTGAGCCTATTTAGGTGCTAGAAACATGCGGTAAGAGCCAACATGGCTGAGAGTTGTGGGCAGGAGAGAAGGCAGGGAATAAGAGAGGAGAGGACAGGTCCAATGACCAGTTCAAATGCGATGAGGACCCTGGAGGACTCCTCCAGTCAGTGAAGGGACAGAGTGCTCAGCCAGTGCTCCAGGAGAGATGCCCCTGAAGTGGGTTCTGACAGCTGTGTAGGAGAGAGGTGTAGGCAGGGAAAACAGGGCATCTGCTGTGGACAGGGTCGAGAGCTGTCTGTCCCCTGCCCTAGTCCCTTGCCTTAGTCCTTATCTTTGCCATGTCACCCACTGTAGCAACCCCTGGCCCAGACCTATTTTTCCTGAGCTGTCCCTCTGGCCATAGCCTGAGATGGGGAAATTCCTCAGGAGACAAGTGTCAAGAGAGCAGCTTTGCACCAGAAATGGCCCTGCACATCTGTGAGCAGAGTCACCTGGCAAGTGACTTCCCTCTTGAGTGCCTGCCTACACAGCTGTAGGGGGCTGACAGCAGCCCCTGCAGAAGCACCACAGGGACCATAGTGGATGGACACAGTGAGGCCTGCCTGGAATAGGGAGCCATCAATCAGTAAAGTTCTTGTCCCCGCCAAGGGCCACTTTAGACCCAGTCGGGAAACCATTAACCAGCATAGGATCTGAGGTACAATCCTGTGGGATATCAGGGGCTCTCAGAGCACCACTTCACATTTTATTTTCCCAACCTTTGAGGGAAGTCACATACTTTATTCTTACTGCCAATGATGGGGGCTTACCACCTCTCAAAAGCTATCCGTCCAGGGGCTGGGGAGATGACTCAGTGGCTAAAATGCTTGTTAAGCAAGTGTGAGGACCAGGGTTCAGATCCACAGAACCCACATAAATACCAGTGGGCATAGCTGCCTGCCTATAATCCATACTTGGAAGGTGGAGATGAGATTCCCAGAGTGAGCTGGCTAGCCAGACTAGTCGTATTGGAAAGTTCTACTAGGTTCATTTGAGAGACCCTGCCTCAATAATAAGGTGGAAAGTGATTGATGAAGACACTCAATAGCAACCTTGGGCCACACACAGGTGCACACGATACACACATGTGTACACACACATACAAACATGTACACATATGTACACACCACATACATGAACATACAAAAAAGTAAAAAGATGTCCACACCATCCGTAGGCACCTCTGACCTGTGAAAGTATTTCTACAGGAAATGAAGCTTGTGTTCCCAGGTCTGCCCTCTGGGTCTCCCCCTGACACCCTGAGCTGGATGGAAGCGCCAGATGTTGTGTTCCCAGGTCTGCCCTCTGGGTCTCCCCCTGACACCCTGAGCTGGATGGAAGCGCCAGATGTTGTGTTCCCAGGTCTGCCCTCTGGGTCTCCCCCTGACACCCTGAGCTGGATGGAAGCGCCAGATGTTGTGTTCCCAGGTCTGCCCTCTGGGTCTCCTCCTGACACCTCGAGCTGGATGGAAGCGCCAGATGTTGCTTCACTTCCTTAGCACACCCTGGTTCACATTCTGCTTTCTACCCATCTCTGTGCAGAGCACTGAGCTCTGAGCTGCTCCCCCACTAACCTGTGCGCCAGGCCTGAAAATCCTGCTGTGTGCCCCTGCTCTCAAGCCGGAGCACCCCTGAAGGCCACCTGGACCCACACAAATGCACACAACTACATACATGTCCTCAGACACAGTGTGCACAGGCACACACACACATATGACACACACTAGCTATGCACATTCATATGCATCTACACACATCCCACAGGCTCACATGTGTGAAGAAAAGTATCCCTATGCATGCTTACATGGCTCACAGATATCACAGGCACACACATGATCGCCTGCAGTTTTAAACTCAGAGAACCTTTGGGCCCTAGGCATGGGGAGGAACACGAGCCCTGCGCTGACAGAGCCAGTGAGGTCCCAGGAACATGCACAGATGAAACTGGGGACAAGCAGGTTGGGCTGTCACTGTCTAGGGGAAGGATGCCCTTGGCCATCTTTGCAGAGACGCAGGTTACTGATGACGCGAGGGCCCTGGAAACACAGAGGATTGCCTAGCAACCCTGTCTCTGCAGGCAGCAGCTTGGCTTTTCCTAGCAACTGTCCCTACCTGCTCTCCCTGGGGTGTTTCTGCAGTTCCCCTGCCCAGCCCCTCAGAGTTGGCTAGAGGCAGGAAGGACCGGTGGTGGCTTGCTGCTGTACCAATCACAGCGGCTTGGGAGCTGCTGTGCTGGCTGGCCCGGCAGGGCTCGCCACATCTCCACTCACATGCTCCAGGCTTGGGGTGACAGTCACAGCTCCCAGCTGACCTCCTGTATCATGGGCACCCCTGCCAGCAGAGCCCAGGAGACCCAAGTAGGTGACCACTTCTGCCTCTGAGCTCTCTTCCTCCTCTCTTCCTTCTGGGCTGGTATTTCAGGGGAGGAGCCTGCTGAAGGTGATCCGTGGACCTGAACTTGGGATCATGGCTTGCATGGATGTGGGGAGGAGAAGTAGACTGCTGAATTTTGAAGCTGGCTGTGGCTACAGAGCCCTAGTCCTTAATCTAGAAGACAGGGCGTCTGCTGGGCACCCACCTCAGCCAGTCTCTGCTCCTCTGCTTAGAGATCCCTGGGACTTGGAAACTTTCTGGAAGCTGAGGGGCTGTTGCTTCTGGTCTGGGCCAGAGGGAGCCCTGGGAGGCACCCGGCCCACAGTTGAGTAGGAGCAACATGGTTTTGGTACATGGACTCCTCAGCAGATGATGATACTGACAGAGCCACCTCTGGCTAGTGAGCCTTGCTAGCTGAGGTTGTTTGTCAAAATACTCCCTGATCCATGCAGCTGTCTTCTAACCTACTGCCTAGGCCACCTCCTTTGGGATTAGCAGTAAGAACAGTAAAAACAAGACCTGCCAGACTCTGTGCGGGGACAGTGGGCATAGCCAGCCTGCTATTGGCCCCATCTTATGGACAGGAACATTGCAGTTCAGAACTCTGCTCAAAGATGCCCTGCCGAGAAACACTGACTGAGTTGGGCTCCTCCAGTGGGTCAGCGGACATAGAGACAGCTAGGGCCAGGTCTCCATATCAGGTTCCAGGGCCACATCCACACTGTCAGAGACAAGGAACTACAGGACAAGCCACAGCTCTAATTGGAAGGAAGCCTTCCCTGAGGAGGCAATCTGTGCACTGGGCCTCAAGAACAAAGATTCCAGAAGAGGAGCAGGTAAAGGAGGGGGTCCAGAAAAGGGGATGCCATGAGGGGCATTAGGAGGAGGACCTCTGGGGTGAAGACCAAAGGGCACTATGCGCTGCTCAGAATCGATGTGCAGGGTTTCCCAGATAGTCTGCAGGAAACCTGGAGAGCTGCAGGCA